TCAGCCAAGCAAACTCTTGGCCGGTTTAGACCTTCCGAGTCTTAAGGTTTATGAGTGCTCATGCATCTGGACAGCCAGCGGCATTGTTTAGCAAGCCTGACTGCGCTGATGAGACACAGAAGATGGAAACTCGATCTAGAGTCTGCTTCTTTACATCTCATATTGCTTGGTCGATATTCGTCGGGCAAGCTCCCCCCCCCCCTCTCCTCCCCCCCTCAACTCGCTTTTAAGGGATTACATCTTGAATCATTGCCTCACTTGATGCAGCTAATCCGGCTGTGACGGTCTCACCTGATGACGGAGACTTGTGTTGCCTCCGAAACGTCGTGATTTTTTATTTTTTATTTTATTTTATTTTTATTAATTTTGATGTTTTACCTACGTGACTTTACCGAAAAACCTAAGAATATGAATCCTTGCAGTCACGAAAGCTTCAAATCTGGAAGTCAATATGATGTTGGCTTCAATTGCCTTACTTTCTTTTTAATGTAGAGACACGGTACAAATTTAGTTTGCCGGCTTAAGCTTTTAGACGTTGGATCTGTTTTAATTATTTCATATATACTGTACTGGCAAGGAAGGTACACAGTATACAATTCGGGTGGAGAGATGGTGCAGCAGTTAGCGCATGGCACAATCAACTAAAAACGAAACTATTTTATTTAACCAGGTAAAGCCCACTGAGATGCTTTTTGGTTATAAGTGCCTTTGGTCACAAATGACATCTCAACGAAGTGACTTATCACGTGGACATTTATAACAGCCAAATAGTCTAAACGCATGTTTTTGTAAATGTGGAGGGAAAAACCTGAGGACTTGGAAAAAAAACCCACGGGACCACGGTGAAGGAGAGAGAGACATTTAAACTCCAAATACATAACAGGAGTCAGGGTCGAGATCGAACCCACGACCTCCTTCATACCAGGCGAGGGAAATAACATCTCGCCACCATGGCAGCCCAATGAACCCGAATCGACCCAAATCTGACATCCCGCTCACGTACAACATTAGTGGCGAGTGATATCAGAGACCTGTCAAGCTCGAGTCTTGATGAGATCGGGCGCATCCCAATACGGTTTAATCATAGGCTGGTAAACATTGCCTGCTACACTAGAGCAGGGAGAGAGAGCTCAGCATAGATTGAGATGCGGAGTTGTAATTGCGGTCATTATTGCTATGAGCTCTCGAGCGTAATTGAAAACAAAATTTGCACTCACTTATTTAACCGACGCAGGTGTCTCAACCACGGCAATAACCGCACAGCGGATATTTACATTTAATTGGGTTTAAATGTCAGCGGTACGCAACACGTGTACGTCCGTGTGTGTGCGCGCGCGGCTGTCGAGGTGCACCTAACCTGGCACAAGCGCCGTTGTGACGTCACTGCCACGTTGTGGCGAATGACGGTTGTTGTTGTTGTTGTTTGGCCGTCAAATCCAACGTGCTGGCATACGCACGAGCACGAGCACGACGAGACTGCGCACAGAAGTGGTGCCCGATTTATTACAAGCGCGGAAGAAATGACGGGCTGAGAAATGCCTCGACTGAAAACCACCAGCTTCTGAATGCGTAAGTCGAGCGCTCGAACTAACGTCAGCCTCTCGTCAATCCACTGTCGGCTACAGGCCTCTCCATCCCTTGTGAATCGTGTGGGTTGTTTGCGGTGCCGGATGAAGCTTAGTGCGGGGCCTGTAGCATATGTTATAAAGAGGCCCTAAATAAAAAAATAAAAAACACGTAAATATGAAAATACAATTTTTTTTACTTGCACAGTAAAGTAATTAGATTTTTTTTTATTTGCTATACAGTCAGATTATACGACACATCTCTAATAAACACCCAGTCGTTCATAAAAAGTTGAAGGCGGTATAGTACTATAGTAATAGAGCAAGTGCAGAGTCACTGAACCGGAATTGATAGCTTGAAATCATTTAGCGCGGGGCCCTTGAAAGTGCGGGACCCGTAGCTACTACACGTGCAGCTACTACACGTGCAGCTACTACACATGCAGCTACTACACATGCAGCTACTACACATGTAGCTACTACACATGCAGCTACTACACATGCAGCTACTACACATGCAGCTACTACACATGCAGCTACTACACATGTAGCTACTACACATGCAGCTACTACATATGCGGATACTTTTGCTACGAGGATAATCTGCCACTGGTTGTTTGGTCATACTTCACCACGCGTTGTACGGGGTTGGTGAAGTTGGAGCAGCTCAAGGAACTCCGTTCAGAGGTCACCTCTCCCACCGACCTTAGCCGTGGCCGGGAATCGAACCGAGGCTCAGCGGGTTCATAGCGCTCGAGTGCATGGTGTCCCAGAACGCGATGGAGTGCCTGGCTCGAGATCTTGTTTATTGTTTATCATTTATGGGGAGCTGTCGTGTCGTCGTTAGCGGGCGACGCTCCGCTACGAATCCCAGCGACCCGAGTTCAATTCCCAGCTTACGACCAACACCAGTGATGGAATATCTGAAACCAGTCCTGCTCCCCCCCCCACTCCCCACCTCACCCCTTAGGTCGACTCAGCCACAAATCAGTACCTGGTACGATGTGTAAAAACCATTGCAACGAGGGAAACAAAGGCGGTCGGGCGTGGTGCAGGTCACTCACCCCAAATGTGTGTGCCGTGCCGGCCCTCATTAAGTGATTGCAAACAGCGATTATCTCGGCAATTCCGTAGAGGCTAAACGGGGAATCTTTGTAATGTGCGAGGAATTATGTTCATTGGGGCGTTGACGCGTGAACCGCGCCAAACTTTCGCCCATCGCGATCATAACCCCACGTGTTGCTCACAACTTAAATTAGCAAAGCTAACGACGCTGGCAAGCGAGACGCATTCGCACGACGTGTCTGTGTACGGTTTAAATTCTCGCACACGGAAATGCCGGTAGTGTGTGTGTGCACATGTGTCTGTGTGTGTCTGAGTGGGGAGCGGTGGTGCAGCGGTTAGTACGCTGCACTACGAACCCGGCGACCCGGGTTCGATTCCCGCTCACGGCCAACAACGGTGACAAACATCTGAATCGGGTCCTCGGCTCAGCCACGAATGAGTACCTGGTGCGGTGTGTAAAACATCGCCACTCAGGAGACAAAGGCGTCCGGGCGTGGTGCTGGCCACCCACCCCTTTGTGTGCCACGCCGGCCTTCATAGGTGCTCGCTAACAGCACTTGCCCCTACAGCCTGTTAAGGCTATACGGGGGGATCTTTGTCTTTGTATGTGTCTGAGTCAGTCAAATTGGCACAGGAAAGGGCACAATTGTTGCATCAGTCGATCATCTCAGTCGGTCATCTCAGTCGGTCATCTCAGTCGGTCATCTCAGTCAGTCAACCCATGGCACCACCTGGGCCTGTCCCATGACCTCCTGTCAGCAGCGAGCCTTCGACACTTCACGTGGCCTAAAAGTGCACCTAGCCTGGCACAGGCACGGTGGCGATGTCACCGCTACTTCGTGGTGGCTGCTGTTGTTGTTGTATACGTGTCTGGTTTCAATATAGGGTGCTAGCTAACAGCACTTGCCCCAACAATGTGTTAAGTCTAGACGGGGGATCTTTATATTTTGGTTGGTTTTGGTTAAACCATGTTTGTTTGTTGTAGTACAGAGTTAGCCTGATAACTTTAATCTACATTGTCTTATGGTTGTTATTGTTTGACTTGCATCCAACTGGGATTTTTGCACACAGCGTTGAAATGCGGTGTTTTTTCTGGATTTTTCTGTTGCGTGTAGTCACTTTAAGATGTTTCTTTTTCACGTTTTTGTTTTATTGCGGTTGCACCCGAGTCAAGAGCCGCATGGCTCACGGGGTTATCTAACCTATAAAAGGGAAATTTGTGAATATGTGTGTCTGTTCAAAATGTTTAGTGTACTTCCCGACATGCAACAAACTTTAAATTTGCCATGTGGGTACTTTCCAGACTGTACACCATGCAAAAATTATAATAATAGTATTTTGTATATTTTTTGGGGGGGGAGGGGATCAATAATGCATATATTTTGCACGGCAAGTGAGCTGTGACGTCACATCTGTCATGTGACCCGCGCGTGGGGAAGCGTCACGCAGTGTGCCTGCTCATGGCACGCATCCCCCCACCCCGCAACCCTCCGCTTAGCCCGTGTTTTAATCCAAGACAAGAATCCAAGTCCCGGGCGAAGCCGGGTAGTAAAGCTCGTACCTAATACATGAAACTGAAACTGGTTACTTCAATACTGCAAGTGCCTTCCGTGTGAAGCTACCCCACATTTTGGCGGAAGGGTCAAGAAAGACACGTGGCAAGCCGACAGGCAGCCCTGCCTGCAGTCCGTCATCGCTGATTGCTCTTTGAATAAAGCCCTCAAGAGATGAAATCAACAACAGCGGCTTTGAAAGGGAACACTCATAACACTGGTCAAAAAAAAAAAAAAATTCTGGCCTGGACTTTTGCAGCTGTTTTAGACTAATTTCAGGGTGCTGATTCCAAATCTGATCTCAGAGTTGCTCTATCACATCGATTTTTATGCTATCGGCATACCCCATTTTCATTGATTTTACCCGAAATTAACTCTGTCCCTTATGATTGCAAGTTGTTGCGAGTCAGTGACTGCGTTAGTGTTAAAACATGGTGCTGTATTTTTAGGATAGTGTGTTTATAATATCATTTTATGTAGATATCCACATTTATTTAATATTTTTCTTCTGCAGTTTTTATTGAAAATGCAATATTTGATATCTCAAAAACCTGATGTGATAGACATAAACTGATGCCAGATTTGGAATCAGCACCCCAAAATGACCTTATGAACCGTTGGAATGCCTTATGCCAGAAAAAGTGTGTTGACCAGTGTATAATAATTGGCGTCGTTTCGCGAGATGAAGGAACACGCAATACTCGCTCAACTGACCCCTGACCACCTCAGCAGACACTGTGTGTTGTGTGTGTATATCTATCTCTGTCACAATCGTGCAATACTGATCTCATCTGTGTGTGCGTGTGTGCGTTTGCAGGCGCCGGAGAGAAAACCGAGAACACAATCGAGGCCTATGAGAAGTGAGTTACAATCGGGGTGGGAGCGCTGCGCTCATTTTTAAATCCTTTATATTAAGTTCACTTGCGCGCTTGCTTGCTTGCTTACGACCGTGCAAATCTTTCGGCCGTTTTTTAACCCACTTCCCGTGATCCAATCGAGCTGACATTTTCCACACAGACTCGTTGTGCGTGACAATTAATGTTCGTCAATTTTTTTTCCAAAATTTTACACTTTTTAGGACAAAAATATTATATTTAATTACCAATTGCTTAATGGTGCCATGCAATCATCTGACCCATAGGTGGCAGCCATCTCAAGCCAGAGGACGAGAGGACGAGAGAAAAACTTTGTTTTTACGGGTTATACTTGTTACCAACTTGACTCACAATTGTAGCGAGGCTCCCTCTGCGTTACCCGCAACGGCGGTGTGCGCGGGGCGATTCACACCACATCACGTGACGACCTACTTGAGTGACGTCACAGGGATGACAATGACGATGACGATACTGTTGCTGTTGTTGCAAAGTCAACGGTAGGGCACGAGGCACAACGGGGTCGTGATTCAGTGACAACTCAAACTACTGACGCGGCGACATTATGGACACGGTTGTGCGCATGGCTCGGACAGTCGGAAGGGCTTCATGAAATGACTGCCCTGTACTTTATACGGGTTATGGATTGATGCCGCAGGAGTTCGTGGGGCTGCGTAATGAACACGGCAATCGAAGTTCGATTCCCAGCCACGGCTCACATCAGTGGCGAGTGATGTCTGAACTGCGAGGTGTTGACCTCCCCCCGCTCTGCTCTACTTCGCCATGCGTCGGTCAGCATGGTGAAGTATGACCAGATAACCTAGACGACGTGGGGACGGCCTTCATCCAGCAGTGGATTGGCAAAGGCGCTGTCATTCGTTACTATTATTATTAGCACACGTTACACATTACAACAAATACATATCAAATGTTCGTGCTGTTCTATATTTTAACATCACGGAAACTCAAATATACCAAAGACGAATTTTATTCCTGACATTTCCAGACCCAGCTTTTAGGTCGGAGTTGGCATCAAAAGACAACTTCATTCTTATTTCTGCATGCCCTGGAGTTCTGTTTGAGGATGTTAGCTCATGCAAATAAAAACGTTGTGAAGTGCAGACCGCGACGTGGTTACCGTGCCCCGTTTGGGGAAGTACTCGCGCCTTTCTGTATTCGTAACACGTTTAGCATTCCGCAACAGCGGAACCGCGTTATCTTCTTCATCTTGACTTGAGCAACACACACATCGTTCTATTTATTTTTATTACATACAATGAACAATATAATGACGAAAACGTAACATCGTCAATGTCATCATCATCATTAATCATCCACACACACGTTGCATCATACTACAATAACAAACTCAACACATTTGTCAATAACACTGTAGCCTCAAAGGAAACGCATACGGTATATAACAGGCGACGGGTTCAACCAATGGCCTTCGAGAGCACTCTTTGCGCGTTTTCGGGAAATGGAATGTACGTTCACTACGAAGAGTGACCACATCCCTAAACTTTGGCACTTACACATTTTCCCTTTGAGGTCAACAGAGTTGCTATTTGGCGAACGTGTTCTGTTCTTGTTGTTAATTGCTGATTGTGCACCATCACTGCCATCGCAGCAGCAACATCATCGCCAACTGTCATTGTAAGATCACCATCGTCGTCATCATTCGATGCACGGACATCAGCACCACCACCACCACCATCATCATCAACGTCTCATATTCTTAGGTTTTTTCGGTAAAGTCACGTAGGTAAAAAAATTAAAATTAATAAAAGTAAAATAAAAAATAAAATAAAAATCACGACGTTTCAGAGGCAACACAAGCTTCCGTCTTCAGGTGGAACCGTCACAGCACGATAGCTGTATCAAGTGATTTTACCTAAAAAAACCTAAGAATATGAATCCTTGCAGTCACGAAAGCTTCAAATGACAACTATTTTCTACTCCCTACCTCAAATCACCAGTGACAAATGGAGCATGGAGCGTTGTCCCTGCCGCGAGGTCCATTGCGGCTCAGAGGGCAAATTCCACATCGCAGGAGATGAGCCGAATACTGCTGAGCAAGCTGGCCTCGAATCTTTTGAGTTGTATCCGCCCGTGATTAAACCGGGTTCTCAAGCTTAGCGAGGCGATGGCCTCAGCCCGGTCAATAATGATGAATGCACGCACGCACACACACACACACAAAAACTACCCATCACGCTGAGTTTAGTTTTCACTTTGCCATCATCAGCAGCCATGCTCTATCAACTGCATCGATTCAAGCAAGGCCGACCATGCTGACGAGCCACTGAGTGTCCAAAAACCGCTCCAGAGGATGCTTGTGTAGTGTTGTAAAGGACCGACTTCTAAACTTATTTATGGCACACACTGTTTATCATCTTAATACACAGTCCCTATCACACAAAGGGGGTATATGGTCCCCTCACCCGTTACCCTGAGGAGGTACAGCTCCGGACCTTGTACAGCTCTCTAAGCTCCCTGCTATCCCAGCATCCTCTGGCTGGACCTAGGGGATCTCTCCCCGACCACTGGTTACACTGAGCCCTAGCCCTGATAAGGGCTGGAGGGCTTGGTCCAGGGTCCTAGATGTCTTCGGCCGACTTGGGTCTTCGTGTAGCAGAACTGGCCAAGAGCTCTCAGCGCTCTGGCTTTTATACCTGTTCGTGGCCGGGTTGTCCAATCCCCGGCCACCTTGTGGGACCCTCCGATTGGTCCTTCCCAATTTGGCGTTTGGATCCTACCTCACCCCATTTGACCCTGACCGTTTGATTGAGCGGGAAAACCTTGTTTACGATCCGCTCTCTCACAGCTTGCGAACAGCGAGTCGTTATCACCACTACACTTGTACTGAATCAATGCTGCTCACATGATGTCCTCCCAGAAGGCCGTATGGCTGACGGAATGTGTCAAAAATACCCTTCGATGTTTATTTTGTTTGTTATCTGGAGGGACGGGTACATGAAGAAGGCGCGCACTGTCTGCTCGTTTATTTTGTCACAGTCAGGACGGTAAAAGCGATGACACGACAAGAGTTGCCCTTGAAGGTCCCACCAACTGTGTCGCAAGTCAGACGGTGGTGGCGGCGGCGGTGATAATGATGGTGATGATTGTCACACCATAAGAGCTGTCCTCGTAGTGTGACGGTCGGGTGGGTGGGGAATGAGCGTCCGGCCACGCCACAGCCTGCGGTGTCTGACAGAAGGAAGGAAGCGACGTGTGGCGATGTCTTCTGTGTCAGCGCGAGGCAGGCCGGCACGCACATGCTCGAGCTCGACGTCCAAATCACCAAGGACGGAGTGATCGTGGTGGCGCACGATGACGACCTCCGGCGGTCCACGGGCAGATCGCAGCGCATCCGTGACCTCAACTTCGATGTAAGGTCAAGGGTCATTTGTGGGGGGTGGGGGGGGGGGTGGCAAAGGGAGGGAGGGGGGGGGAAAGGGGGAACAGTGGGGTGACACGAAGTCGTGTGCATTCATGCAGTTTGTTCTCTTCTTGGTTCTTTCGGTAAAGCCACGTAGAAGGGAAATAATAAAATAATAAAAAATAAAACGCTGTCTTTCCGACAGACCTGTTCTTCACCTAAGGACGGCTGCTTGCGTTGTGGCCGAAACGTCGTGAGAATTATTTTATTATGTTTTATTTTTATTATTTTATTACTTACCTTCTACGTGACTTTACCGAAAGAACCAAGAAGATGAATCCCTGCAGTCACGAAAGCTTTAAATCGAAATCAGTTTGTTCTCCTCTAACGCGGTAGTCGCGTTGCTGAAGAACACCGCGTTATGGGACATTTGCGTGACAATAAACAATATTCTAACATAGGCTAAAGCACAGTCCGCGATAGCACGTGAGATGCGTACGCAGGCTGAACAAAGACTGAGGCGAGTGGGTAGCATCTAGAAGCATCCAGCAGCATCCCGCCGCCTTGTGCGATGCTACGCCGAGGCAGCCGTATGACCGCTTATTCCGAGACGCGCGACGTAGCGCTGTTTTCTCAGTCGCGTTATATCCAATTCCCATCCGCGTTATAACAAAAATGTGTTCCCGAATACATTCATCGCGTTATATCCAATTCGCTTTATGAAAACCACACACGTTGTAGGCGAACGGACTGTGTCACACAAGTGCAGCCCTTTTTGTCAATCCACTGCTGGATGAGGGCCTCACCCACGCTACGCGGTTGTTTGACCGCGTGTTTCTTCACCAAGCTGATCGGTGAAGACGGCGGGCACCGATTTGGGAGTACCAGCTGTGCCGCGCACAGCAGTGGCCCGATAGCAGAGGCCTAAAGTAGCTGACGCACGGTGGGCACTCATCGAAGCACTAACCAGGCCCAAAACCTGCTTAGCTGTCCAGATGTGATGGGATTTGGCGAATTGCAAGCGATCTGGCGGTTAACATATCCATGTTATAGGCACAAGTTTTTTTGTAAGAGCAAAAGTATTTCATGACCCACTGTGCGTTGTGCCGTGGATGTTACGTGTATCGTAAAACACAAGTCTGCGTCTCTTTTTTTTCTTTCAGGAGCTGCCCATATACAAGGACAAACTCGAAATCACATTCGACCAAGGTGGACTGCGTTTACTTACTGCACAAACATTATTATTATTATTATTTGTCCTGCTGGGTCTCAATGCAATGGATTAACAATAACATTTAAAGTGATTTCCTGCTCAAACGAGCATTGATGCCGTGTTCATCGCCCGTTTACAACCCTGAGCCAGTGGTGGAGTTCCACATTCCTATGGCAGGGGCAAGTCTATCCCAGAGGACAAACCACTGTTGGCTTGCCCGCAAAGTAGTTTTTTATCGGACTCAGAGAGATGATGGGCTGCACCATCCACCTTATAGAGTGTGAATTTCTTAATCTTGCGATTGTGAGCTGCTCGCTGTAGCACTGAGCCATCTGACTGGATAAATACTCCCACGCGTAACGCCTCCTATATTTAAGCTCAGTAATTTTTCTATTCACCTGATGCAAAACTTGAAATATGAATTATTCAGCATGCCACGGACATTTGGGCTGTTTTTCAACATACTATGACCCAACCCACGACCTCCTGTATAGCAGGCGAGGTAGTCAACATCTCGCCACCGCGGCGCCCGCTGGAGTAAACAAGTAAACGCTCAAGTAAAGTGCACTTGTTAGAACTCGAATCGAGATAACGATGATCGTCGTGGCCAAGTCGTTGGTGCCACCGAACCTCGCCTTTACCACGTGCCACATGCCGCCGTGGCTGCCCTGTTATAGCCACGTGACCTCTGAGATCGGCCCTAACAGTGTCCCACCGTTTGTTCTTTGGTCTCCCCCCCCCCCCCCCCACACACACACTCTGGTTAATTGCAAATCCAGTAACAGGATGAATAAAAATGAAACATTCAACGTTTTGGGTTGCTCGCATAATTCAAGATCGGGGAGAGTCACAGACAGAATTTGTGTTTAGACTGGAGGAATCCGATTAGATATGAAGCTCTTTTTTCACATGTATCCAGTAGTTTTTGCGGTTCTTCACAGATGTCCAAATTCATTAACCGCGGACTGACGATGCTCAGGGCTCGAGTGCCGGTTCGGCTTGGTCACGCGTCTCTCTCCGGCGTCTCCCGCAGGCCACTACAACAAGGCGTCCAAGGACCGTAGAATCCCCACGCTGCGCGAGGTTTTTGAGAAGTTCTCCGATCTGGCCATCAACGTTGAGATCAAGGAGGACAACGATGAGACCATCAACAAGGTGTCGCCCCTCTCTGGATACGCACAGAACACTCTGGTGTCACCCACATCAGCTGACCGGACACTAACCCTACCCATAACTCTAACCACAGTAAACAACCAGACACGAGCCCTACCCATAATACTACCACACGAGACAACCAGACACTAGCTCTGCAGTCATCGGGGGGGGGGGGGGGTCAGAATTACGTGCCCACAACGGACCTCGTGCGTGGGGCCCCTCTGCGCCACTGAGGGCTTCGATGTCCGTGCTCCGGGCTGCAGGTGGCCGAGTTGGTGGAGGAGTTCGGGCGGGAGGACCGCACGGTGTGGGCGAGCGCCATCTGGGAGGTGATGCTCAAGTGCCGGGTCGCGGTAAGTTCTCGTCGGTGTCTCCGCTCCGTGCGTTCGTGCGGGGGGGCAGGTCTTCTCTAGCTGCCACTGTGTTCGCTGCTCCTGTGAACTTCACGCGCTGATCCCTACCACCCGTGTTGAGGAATCCGATACGCTACGAAGCTCTCTTTTTTTCCCCCCACAGATGGTCAGTAAGCCTACCAGACTTGTCTCGTTGTCCCAGCCATCATCCCACTGCGTTCGACCACGACCGTCGCGCAGGACTAAACGCTTCTCTTTCTGCTTTTTCCCCTGTCGCACATCGCTCGACTTTCAGATTCCCTTTCCGTCTTCTCTTTTCTTCTGCCCGAGTCGTTTAGAACAACAACATTAATTAGATCTGTTACAGCTTTGGTCGGGGGGAGAGATGTGGCAGTGGCAGAGGCGAGCAGCTCGCCATGAAAAAGTTTGCAAAGTTCAAATCGTGGTTGGAAATTGACTCAGCCAATCATCCCACCTGGGTTGATAAAATCAGTACCACTTCACGGGTAAGTTAACAGTAGTTGTCCTACGTATAGAAACTAAGTTAAACTATTTTGATTTTGCCAGGTAAGGCCCACTGAGCTATATAGCTGTTTTTTCGGAAGCGACCTGGCCACAAATGATAGCTCAACGAAGTGCCTCATCATGTGGAAATTTAGAACAGCAAAATTATCTAAACGCGTGATGTGGATTCTAAATGTGGAGGAAAAATCCGAAGGACCCCGACAAAAATCCCGGCGACCACAGGGAGAACACGCAAACTCAAAATTTACAGCAGGTGTCAGGGTCGAGATCAAACCCACAATCTCCAGACTTGCCACCCGCCACGGGCGAGCGAAAGTTCCACCACTGCCTCGGGGCTGAGATCACTTTTGGTTCGTATGCTTTCAATAGTGCTGCTTGTTGCTGGCCGCTTGACGCTTTGAGCCTGTGGTCCTGTGAGTGCTTTCCGCCCGTGCGCTTTCCGTTGAAAGCATCGACTTCGCGGGAGGAAAGCCGATGGATGGGGCAGCTTCCTGACAAAAAAATAAGAAATAGATGTATTTGGTGTGGATCAGATATGCTAATGTACCCGCCCTTTTGTTTTGGTTTATGTATCCAAGGTGTGAATTTATTTAGATAAATTTCGCCAATAGAGGGCTCCACGGCGATCTGTCTTCGTGTGTGTGACTGTGCGCGTGTCTGTGCGTGACTGTGCATGTGTCTGTGTATGGGGAGCGGTAGTGTAGCGTTTAGCGTGCTGGGCTACGAACCCGGCGATCCGAGTTCGATTCCCGTTCGCGGCCAAAATCAGTGACGATTATCTGAACCGGTCTTTGGCCTCCCCACGGTCGACTCAGCCTCAAATGAGTACTTAGTGTGTAAACATCAGCACTGGGGAGCCAAAGGTGGCTGTGGGCGCCTTTCGTCGTTCCAGCCTTCATAGGTGCCTGCCAACAGCACTTGCCCCAACAGTCTGTGAGGGCTACAAGCGGGATCTTTGTCTTTGTCTCTGTATGTGTGACATAACAGAACCCTCGGATGCCCACCATGTTCAGCACGGGTCGCATCTACTACCTGCTGCTGCTCTTCTACACGGGGCTGCTGCCCTTCATGCCCTTGCCCGAGTCGCTCTTTGAGATGATCATGCCCTCCATATGCTACAGGTGACGACCGTGCGGTAGCAGCTTGGCTTCGCCTGGGAAGCACAGCAAGACCATCAACGGTCTATAATAAAGAGGGGTTTTTGTTGTTGTTTTGGCTTAATTCTCGTAAGGTTTGCCACGTAAAACTGACACAGTCATAATAGAGGGTTTTTTAAAAATCCTTTATATTAAGTTCGCTTGCTTAGGACCGTGCAAATCTTTCGGTCGTTTTTTAACCCACTTCCCGTGATCCAATCGAGCTGACATTTTCCACACAGACTCGTTGTGCGTGACAATTAATGTTCGTGAACATTTTTTTCCAAAATGTTACACTTTTTAGGACAAAAATATTAGATTTAATTACCAATTGCTTAATGGTGCAATGCAATCATCTGACCCATAGGTGGCAGCCATCTCAAGCCAGAGGACGAGAGGACTCTAGCCGCCACGCATATAAAGAATTTATAGTGAAAAACTTTTTTTTACAGGTTATACTTATTGTTGGGTTAGATCGCGTAAATATATAAATGTGTCGTTAAACCCGCCACCACCCGACACAGCCAATTAGTTTGGTTTGTAACGCAAACAGAACGTGCCAATTCGTTTCTAGTACAGCACATCGGTGTGTTGGAGAGCAAATCCACAACATTTACAATCTGAGTACTTGGAATCGGATGTGTCAGATGGTGGCGGGTTTAACGACACATTTATATTTACGCAATCTAACCCAACAAAAAAACCCTATATCATGGATGATATTGGTCGCGAAAGCCGCTGCGTGTTAAACTGACAAAGCCAGCCTCAACCAGTATATACACAAATACTGTTTCTTGGAATTTCTCTCACTTGATACAGCTATCGTGCTGTGACGGTCCCACCTGAAGACGGACGCTTGTGTTGCCTCCGAAACGTCGTGATTTTTATTTTTTATTTTATTTTTATTTTATTTTTATTTTACTTTTATTAATTTTCATTTTTTACCTACGCGACTTTACCGAAAAAACCTAAGAATATGAATCCTTGCAGTCACGAAAGCTTGAAATCTAGAACCAGTTAGTAAGGTTTGTCACGTAAAACACAACGTGCCGATTAGTTACCAGTTCAGCACACCGGCGTGGTGGAGCGTAAGCCCACAACGTGCACGATCCGAGTGCTACGTGCCCGCGTGCACAATAACCTCGTTGCTATTGTGCACAAAAAAAACAATATTATGGATGATATTGGTCGCGAAAGCCACTGCGTGTTAAACTGAGCGTATTGTGCACACAACGCGATGCCGCCACGGTTGGTGTCACGCTGTGCGCAAGCTCGGCTTTCAGTCCAGAGCGAGCGTGGCCCCTTCGATGGCATCTTCCTTTGGCGGGCACGAAGTGACCCAACGTTGCCGAGCCCAACGTTCCACTTCGACCGGGAAAGAGCTGAGAAGTGCAAGTTATTTACTTTCTTCGACGGTTGCGCGGGGGCGAGGCGGTGAAATCTGCGGCAGTGAGGAATGTGGACCGTCCGGATTTCACGCGTGAAGAACCGGCTGCGCGTTTGTCAAAGCTGTTCGGTTCGCCGCTGTGCACGGGCCCACGAATCGTGAGTGACTGGCGTGCGAGCTGCACCCTTGCCCACTTCCGCTCCCTCCTTGGGCATTGGCACTGAGCAGTGAAGCCAGCGCACGGGCAGGGGAGCAGTGGGGGGGGTGGATTCAGGTTTTCAGCAAACGTGGCAGATCGCATGATGATGAAGCTGATTGTTGTAATCACCAGATGAAATATGGTGGCCTCAAACTGCACCTAGCCTGGCATAAGCGCCGTGGTGACGTCGCCACCGCTAAGTGGGGAACGGCGGTTGTGGTTGTTGTTGTGTTTGTTGTGACCTGCGGTGTTGGTGGTGGTGGTGGTTGAGATGAAACGGTCAGTCTGTTAGAACCATTCCTCAACATGGGTGGCAGAATCAACGAGTCACAGGTTGATCCCGCCACCCATGTTGGTAGTTGCGATAGGAGAGTGATGAAGAGGCAACGAACCGTCAGCGAGCGAGCGAGGGGTCTCAAGTGAATTAGTGCTGGATCAAAGATCAATATGGCTGCTCTGCGTTGAATTACATCAGTGTATATATTTCACCAAGCCGCCAAATTTGAATATTCCGCTCACCGAGCCTCCGTGTCGTGTCTGACAGGACCTACATTCCCGAGAAAGGTGATGGCATGCTCAGGTACAGGTGGCTCGTGGGGATCCTGGACAGGTAAGCCTCCCATCTCACCTGTCACCCTGGCCGAATCGACGCGGGGGTTTTAGGGGCTGCAGCCCAGGTGCTTCGGATGGTGAAGGGCTTCCCTCCCATAACATTCAAAGTCCTGCTTTACGTATCTAAATCAACTCAGGCTTCCCGTAAACCACGTGACTTCTGTGTGACCACCCCCTACTCTGATTCCCTTCCCTCTCCCACGCCCCCTGTGAACACAGACGCCACTGCATGCAGCTCACTCCTGCTTGCTCCTTCTTTCCTTCTTTCTCTCTCCATCTATTCCCTTTCCCCTCGTCATCACCCTCTCATCCCTGACATCTCGGCATGGTCGTTCCTTTTCTGCTTCCTTGCCTTCCTGCCCGGCGCTACCTATTTCCTGCTTCTCCTCGTCTTGAGACGTGTGCCCTCTAAAAGTGATACGGTGAATAGGGATGGGGTATGGGGAGAGAGATTTGTGGGTACGGGAATTATGGGGGTACCTAGGGAGGGAGGGATGGGCCAGGGAGAAGAGGTGACTCTTGAGGGAAGAGCAGAAACTCGACAGGGGCGGTGCTTTAAATGCCACCGTGCTATTGACAAATGTGTTGAGCTTTTTGTTTGTTATGAAATAGAAATGGCGTGTTTGGCATTGGGCCTGTGTCGCACTCTTCACTGCAGCACAGACGGCGCCGTACAGACGAGGCAGGTGACGCTGAGGTGTTTTTTGTGTTTGCTTTAGACTCATTATGAACAAGGCCCTCTTCAAGCACCTGACCGACCGTGGAATTCAGGTGAGCAAGGGCGCCTACAATGTACATATTTACCCCACATTGCAGAGTTCACAGTGTGTAAGCCTTCGACCCAACACGTGTTTGACAAAGGGGAACCAAAACATACTTACGGTTTTGTTTTGCCCCATGATCGACAGTCAAACCTGCCCCATGAGCAGTAGAGTCACGCCTGCCCCATGAGCAGTAAAGTCACACCTGCCCTCACGATCTCGGTAGAGTTAAACTTACAGCACCTTCAGGAGTCCTTGGGTGGCCGTGGATGGATCCCAACTAAGGGAAGCGTATGCTGAATGCCACGAGTGTTGCAAGCGATCTCACAAGTTTGTCTTTCGATTTAAAGCTTTCGTGACTGCAGGGATTCATATTCTTGGTTCTTTCGGTAAAGTCACGTAGAAGGGATATAATAAAATAATAAAAATTAAACTATTAAACCTGTGGTTTTCACACCTGATGATGATTGCTTGTGTTGCAATCGAAACGTCGTGAGAATTGTATTGTTTTATTTTTATTATTTCCCTTCTACGTGACTTTACCGAAAGAACCAAGAATACGTTTGTCTTTGTTGCTGCCTGATTTGTATACAATATCTGCCCAGCAGTGGTGTTCGTCTTTATAGTGCTGAGTGGACAGAGGCAGGAGGGTTTAAGACACTTGACTCTGCTTTCAACTGCCACGCTGCGTGGTAACCGCCACCCCTTGGCGGCGTGATATTTCGATCGTCATTAATGTCTTCGGCTCCCGCTCCGGTGCGTGCGTCTCTTCGCTCCTAGGTCTGCCTGTTTGTACTCAACAACGACCGCGACTACAGGCGTGCGTTCGAGCTGGGAGCTACCGGGGTGATGACCGATTACCCGCACAAGCTGGCCGCCTTCCTGCAGAGGACCACGCAAAACGCTCAGTAGAGACGGTGGCGGTGACGGCGAGGACGATGACCGCGACGATCATATGCACAGGGGCGTCATTTCTCACCGAGTATTTTCTGTGTCGCTGGTAGACCGAAGTAGGTGGTACGTGGCTAGCAGTAGTAGCGCAATAGTGGCGCAGTACCACAGCGGGGGATTTACTCGGTGTGATGTGTCGGGTCGGTGATCCAGACAGACCAGGGTGAAATTAAGCCATGATCGTAAGACATCGTTCCACAAATCCTCCGCAATTCTGTGCGTCTCCTCGCTTAAATGAGCGTTTGCAGCATTGGTCCACCCTTACTCAGCCACCGGTTTGGATCTTCCACATTCTTGTGATTGCTTTAAGGACGAACTAACCTCAGCCATAGGAATGTGGAATTTCCACCGCCGGGTCACTCTTGCGGTCTTTTATACGCGGAGACGCCAAAACAACGGAGTGTTTAATTATGTTATTTATGTTCGTATGTGTAGAACCACAGAGCGTTTAATGCATTTTGTACAAAAACTAATCATACTGTAATAGGCAATGACTCAAAAAGTAAAACAATTACATCTACTACAAAGATGTCACCATATGAACACCACAATGTGTGATTGTATTTTACGTTACAATGTGAAATTAGTGTGGGTGGGCGTACAATGTGCTGGGCCTTCATCTACCAGTGAACGTGTTCATCGCTCAACTTTTTGTTGTTGTTAATTCCCTCCCATCGTCTTATAGTTCTGATAACCGGTTAGAATTACATCAATCTATTGAGCGAGCAAACTAAACTTTCAGTGGTACTGTGGTCGTTTCTGGCTGCTTGGCATTTTTGGAGCGTTGGGGCATGAGCTCAGCAACTGTGATTTGATTAGATTTTTTTTTATTTCAAAGCAAATGTATTAACGTAGAGTTAGCTTGATCCATGCTGTGAAATGTTAAAAAGGAAAAAAAAGAACGTCTTCATATTTAATTTCGGATTCTTTTTTTTCATATGAGAAACGTTTCTCAAGTAAACCTTCATAAAGTAATGGGTTGCCAGCTTTAATGTTACTGCATTCGTTCGTCTCTCAGTCCGCTTGTCCTGGTGAGGGTCGCGGCGGCAGCGTGTTGAGTAGTGGCGGTCCACACCTCCCTTGCCCTGGCGACAGACTCCAGCACTACTACACTACACTATACACTACTATACACTATACACTACTATACACTACACTATACACTACTATACACTACACTATACACTACACTATACACTACACTACTACACTACACTATACACTACTATACACTATACACTACAGCAGCGTGTTGAGTAGTGGTGGTCCACATCTCCCTTGACCTGACGACAAACTCCAGCACTACTACACTACACTATACACTACACTATACACTACACTATACACTACACTATACACTACTATACACTATACACTACAGCAGCGTGTTGAGCAGTGGTGGTCCACATCTCCTTGACCTGGCGACAAACTCCAGCACTACTACACTACACTATACACTACACTATACACTACACTACTACACTACACTATACACTACTATACACTACTATACACTACAGCAGCGTGTTGAGTCGTGGCGGTCCACACCTCCCTTGCCCTGGCGACATACTCCAGCACTACTGCACTACTATACACTATTATACACTACACTACTATACACAGACTCCAACTCTTCCTGGGGAACCCCCAGGCGTTCCAGGCCAGCTGCATGGCAAAGTCCCGCCAGCATGTTCGAGGCCGGCCCCTTGGGGGGGTCTTCGCCCAGTTTCTGTACAAAAATTCAGAATCACTTATCGGTAACATTAAACTGGAGTACATCTTACGTTGTTGACCCAAAACAATGAGACACAAACAACAAATTGAACAACGCATTTATGACGTACACCAAAACTCTTGCCCATCGCCGAGGGTTACGTTCTTGAACATGGCTGCAATCGGCAACCCAAACATAACAACACCATGTGAGACTAGGCTCTAAGGAAAGCTGTCTCGGGTGTGGACCAATCAATTTCAAGGACAGTGCATACATTATCAGAGTTGTGTTTTTTGTTTGCATTCTGCCCGCAGGTATTGTGGTCAATGCAAACATGACTCCTTGTAAAAAAAAGTGTCAGTTTTGTTGCCAGATAAAAGGGTAAAAAACCAATTATTATTTTTCTTAGTGTAAAATATATGATATGAAAAATGTTACGTAATGTACAATACTGTACACAGAAACAGAAACCTGAAAATAAAGATAAGGTTAACGACAAGTACAGTAAATATAATGCAGTTAAGAAAAATACTTTTACTTACTATGAATGATGATGACGGTCGTGTATGTATTCTTCCGTTGTGGCATCATCGGCAGCAGAGTGCAGTGAAGAGTACAGCAGCAAGGTTGATTCTTTGCGAGGCACACAGGAATCTCGCGGTCAACCGCGAATGGTCAAATTCGCGATGGGAGAACCCGCGTTGGGCGAAGTTTGGGTGTACGTCTTGCAAGTTGTGACTGAGCGAGACACTGATGTATGAAGTCGAATGATATTCTCGAAGGGCAAAAAAACAAACTGATATTGGGTAAAAATTAACCCGTAAAAACAAAGTTTTTCACTATAAATCCTTTATATGCGTGGCATCGGTTTTATTTTATTATTCATTTCTGTTTTTCTTGAGTAAGAGTTTCATTTTTATCACATTGGTATTTTAATTTAAATATGAAAAAAAATTACTAAAAAGTGTAAAATTTTGGAAAAAAATTTTCACGAACATTAATTGTCACGCACAACGAGTCTGTGTGCAAAATGTCAGCTCGATTGGATCACGGGAAGTGGGTTAAAAAACGACCGAAAGATTTGCACGGCAGTAAGCGCGCAAGCAAGCAAGCAAGTGAACTTAATATAAAGGATTTAAAAATAGAGTCGAGTCGAGTGTTATACCTCTGCGTAGGCGTTTGTGGTTGTGCTGTGCTGTAAATCTGTTCGGTTGTTGTTTTTTGGGGTTTGTACCGCCTGCTGTTCTGGATGAATCACGTGCTCGTAGTACGCTTGAATTCACTTGCCAAAGAAGCTCGCAATTTGTCACACCAAGTGCCTGAACAATGAGCTGTCCAACGCTGAAGTGGGTTGCAGAGTCTGTGGCTGCAGCTTGAAGAGTGAGTATAATCAAACGTTTAGCTTTAAAGGATGTTGAATTCACATAGATTCACATTTCAAATTGAGCTTTCTCCCCAAATGTAGGAGAGCGAATGTTTATAACCTTGGCCTAGTTGCAGATGTTGAATGGTAATTATATTGCTAATAACTATTTTATTTTTGAAGAGTGTGACGCTAAAGCCGATAGAAAACAAGTAAAACCTGTGAAACATGCTACCAGGTATTGCTTTTTTATGTTGACCGAGGTCCCAACGTTGATATGGAGTGCTTTTGCCAATAAAATCTGACAGTCCATACACATTTATTTAACAAACATGACTGTGATGATGATAGCCAGAAGATGAAAACCGGTCCAGTTTGCTAGCTTCAACAATTGTTGCCAGTCTGATGGACTATTTGGGTGACACAGAATTGGATTTTGTTCTTATACGTTTTTATTTATGTTTTTACCAATCATTATATTGTGTACCAAGTGTGGTGATGCACACCTGTAACCCAACGCTTTGAAGGCATGGGGTTAGTGGGTCACATGGAGATTTGCGGAAATTTCAAATCCTCTGGTTTGCAAGGTGGTTAGGTGGATGTCAAAACATGGTGGATTCTTGAATTCATCTGTGTGGAGCTTTGTGAACTTGACCTTGTATTATTCATGTGCGCATGTTCTGTGTGTAGTCTTGCTTCTTTTAATAATCCAAACTTCCCTTTACAGATAATTCATTGATTGTTGATTTTATCATTCAAAACAAACTATATTTTAAACAAAAGTGTGCAAAGCATGTATGTATTGATCATGTTCATAACTAAAGTTTCTCAATGAGAATGTACTGGAATTGTTTTTTTTTGTCTCTTAACTGGGGTAGCAGTTGTGCGGTGGTTAGCACACTGCGCTATGAGCTCGAATTCTCGGGCCACGGCTATCAGCCCTGGGCATCCGCTCCACTTCACGAACCCACACTGATACACACGCATGGTCAAGTTTGGTCAAACAAACCTGTAACGAACACGGCGTGCTGAGCCCTTCCTCCAGCAGTGTACTGCCAAAGGAACTCTATTGTATAATATAATCTACATTCAAACCATTTTGAATGCAAAGCATCAGCATTCAGAAATCTGCACGCTGTGCTTAGTAAACATGTCAACAGCCATTATTTATGCGGGTGATACCAAAGCCAAGGGGAGGAGGAAGCATGCCCGAGAAGACGTCAACCGTGGGGATCGAGTGATTAAATCAGTTTGTGTGGATTGTTATATCGCACGACCACGAGAGATGGAGACCGGTTGGGAAGGGGCTTCATCCAGCAGTGGATTGACCATCACTGACGATATCCAAGTCAGGAATGTTTAAAAGTTTAATGACGTGTGAACACTCGATCGTGATAGATCGTAAGTGGGATGCCTTCGTTCAGCAGTAGATAGATAATGGCAGATGTATCATCAGTCTGACTTGCTGGAGAAGGCAGATATTGTCCGAAAGGTAATCATCTACTGGACATGTGAAGAAGAGCTTCATAGCTCATCGGATTCCTTCGCTATAAATACATATTCTGATTCTGGGGTGACAGCAAAAGTGTTTTATGCTTGTGGTGACTGATTATGATTCTTATTCTGATTCGTCCAGTTACTGCACGCGTGCCCCACTCATCGCAACCTTTTGACATTGGTGTCACTACAGACTGTGGGGAGTGGGAGTGCAACGGTTAGTGCAGTGCTACGAACCTGGCGACCCGGGTTTGATTCCCACTCACGGTCAACGCCAGAGGCGATTTTCTGCATCGGTCCTGGGCCTCCCCTAGGTCGACATTGCCTCAAATGAGTACCTTGTGCGATATATTAACATTGCCACTGGGGATTCAAAGGCGGCCGGGCATGGTGCTGGTCAACCACCCCCTCGTGTGTCGTGCTGGCCTTTAATAGGTTCTCGTTAATAGCACTTGCAACAACAGTCTGTACGGGGTAATCTTTGTCTCTAGTCTACATACTGGAGTCACTGCAAGACCACATTGCTTGTTCTGAAGACTTATCTTCTTCATCATCATCGCACTGTAGGCTTACAACAATTTAAGGCGATGTCAGTGGAGATTTTTCCTGGGTTGATAAACGTTTTGAGGGCCACCTGTAAGAACTGAGGTGTAGCCTCTTTCATACATAGTGCTGATCCTGGTTCTCACGAACTGCATCAGGTGACAATACAGATTCGCTTGCTACACGTGCACAGCTCTTGAATCCTATACAATCGTAGATTTTGGCTTTTCGCTCGGCTTCCCAGCGTAGAGTTCTGGCTGGTGCCATAATTTGGCGAAGTCACAATTCCATTGATAAACCTTAATGCAAAGCATTCCCAGCATAAACATGATAGAAATTATAATAAAACACCAGTACGTGGTTTTAAATGTACATATTGTATTTATACACAAAACCTCATGTGCAGAAAATACATTTACACAAACTCTTGTTTTGCATTTTTTGCACGAAGCATTTGTGAAGAGGAATTACAGCATTGTTGAGTATACGTAGGAGAATTTAAAGCCATGCGCATTTGTTATAATAATGACGTATCACGATGTGTGTGTTTATGGGCAGTTCCACGAATCAGGAAACCTCACGGTCACCATTTAAAAATCCAAATAATTCACGTGGGCAGTCATTGAAGGTAATTATCTATTGCGTCAGAACATATGGTTGATTTTTGGAAAAAGTCAATGGTCTGACACACATGTGAACCATCCACATCCCAGTGTGGATGAAAAAAAATCAGTTCTGTCCCAGTACGTCTGACACCGTGGTAGTTTATGAAAATTTCTCCCTCATCAGGAAAGGTGGACAAATTGTTTAAGTGAATTACAGCACAGTCCTTGATGGCTGACATACTATGCCAGAATGAAAAGCCCACTTCGCCACTATAATAGTAATAATTACCCACATCTGTAAATTCTAAAAGAATAAAATAGGAAGCGTCTCCAGCATTCATCCGAAATCGTGGTACACGTTCTTCCCCGAGGACTTCATATGGGAGGCCATGTCGCCACCATCGCAACCGCATCCTCTGCTTCCCGCCTTCGTGCGTCTCTTCATTCGTGTTTCACTTTGTACTGTAAGACAAACGCCGCCGACGTCACAAGCTGCCCCAGAAGTAGCAACGTCTCAGTGCACAGGAACTGCACATGGTCACCAACCAGAGGTGCACGCTAACATCCACGGATCTACGTCTTTTTTTTCAAGCATGCTCGAGTAACCACTCTCAACCACAAGGTTGCTGGTAGTTTGCACTGAAGAGAAACGCAAAGGGGTTGGCCAACCGGCTCTTTTAAGGACTGTTTCGTGACATTAATTATTGAGACTGTCTTGTATTCACGTGCATTGCGGGGGAAAGGGGGGGTGCAATTAATTCAGTAACCACTTGGGTTCACCGTAGGGCCGGATCAAGTTTCTTGTAGACACTTGGCACTTCTGTTTCACCGCCCTTGAGTGATAACTCCCTACAGTTGCTACTGCTTCCCCATGTTACTACCGCCGCTGTCAGTCGCTGGTTTCACGCGTACTTCGTCCAGCCGCTGGACAGATGTCGTTACTGATACATTCATTATTAAAATTTTATATAATGGAGGGTTTTTTTTCATACAAACAAAAAAAATCTACGGTAATTTTTTTTCGTAGGCCCTTTACTTTTTTTGGTTTGAATAATAAGGTCCTGGTTCACCGTTGCTGGGAATCAAACTCATGTGGCCTGGTTCATTCAGCGCAGTAAGCTAACCACTGCGCCACCACTCATGAATACAACATTTAAACAAAGGTTTACAACTGCAGCCGCTGTCTGAAAGTCAGGCACTTGGGGGGAGGGGGGGCGGAGGATACACAGGCACCGAGGGGGAAGACGCGGGCACCTTGTCGAGCAGCCAGTGTGCGTCCTGCAGAGCACGAGCGATGATCTGCTGCACCCGCTCTGGGTCCACCTCATCCGCATGGCTCCTGAAGCCCTGGTGCAAGAGACGGTCTTTCATGACGGGACAGCAAAACTATTACGGGAGAGATTAACATTATAGGACAGCGTTCCATGAGCCAAGGGGGCCCATATAAACATTGCAGATTTAAACACGCGTGTGACCTTGTATTTTGTGTACGTATCACTTGACATCTTGGATAACCCCTTGCAAGTTAATATCCAGGTAAACTTTTTTTAAACATAAAGTGGAGTAACCAGAGCAAGAAACAGCAATTGTTTCTTGCTGTGGTTGTCCCACCTGATGACGGGCACTTGTGTTGCGCCCGCAACGTCGTGATTTTATTTATTTTATTTTATACCTATGTGACTTTACCGAAAGAACCAAAGAGTATGGATCCCTGCAGTTACGAAAACTTAAAATCTAGATAAAGTGGAGTATCTAAACGGGGGGGGGGGGGGTGTAAGTGTCACACAATCCATGAGCCCTCACTGAAGAGGGGATGCACTTTGTCCTCTCTGTCCCACACTTCAAGGAGCAAAGCTGGGCGCCCCCATTTCTCTACGTTCCCCAATATCCCTTGAACATTGGGGAAGGCGGCAAGGGCTGAGGGATACGGACTGTTAGGGCACCACTACGGTGGGATGTTAACTAACCTTGCCCAGTATGCAGGAGGTCGTGGGTTCGATCCAGACCCTGACGCCTGTTATATTTTAGAAGTTTGCGGTGTCTCTCCGTGGTCGCGTACATTTTTATCCGGGTCCTCCGGTTTTCCCCACCACGTTAAGAATCAACATCACGCGTTCATAGTATTTGGCTGCTATAAATGTCCACATAAGCCACTTCATTGAGATATCATTTGTGGCCCAGGTCGCTTATGAAAAAGAGCTATATAGCTCAGTGGGCATCTCTTGGTAAAATACTAAATAGTTTTTTAGCTTTCCTTTTTAATGCATTTTTGCTCACTTTCAGCCCTCGTTCCATTTATTGTGTTAACGTCCTTGTTTCTGATCCATATGTCATAGCAGGTAGCATATACTTAATTATATCACTTAATTAGCTGAACATTCGACTGTTTTACAGCTCTTGTTTTTAATCCATGTCATAACAGGTCACATTGATTTAATTATATCACTTAATTAGCTGTACATTCGACTGTTTCACAGCTCTTGTTTTGAATCCATATGTCATAACAGGTCACATTGATTTAATTATATCACTTAATTAGCTGTACATTCAACTGTTTTACAGCTCTTGATTTTAATCCATATGTCATAACAGGTCACATTGACTTACTTATATCACTTAATTAGCTGTACATTCGACTGTTTTACAGCTCTTGTTTTGAATCCATATGTCATAACAGGTCACATCGATTTCATTATATCACTTAATTAGCTGTACATTCGACTGTTTTACAGCTCTTGTTTTGAATCCATATGTCATAGCAGGTCACATTGACGTAATTATATCACTTAAGTAGCTGTACATTCGACTGTTTTACAGCTCTTGCGCCTAAAACAAATCGTGCCCCTTGCCAGGCGATGAACGCCCGTTTCGGCAGTAGTTCTGCGACATCAACTTCCAGACGAAACAAACGAGCGAGGCGGACCTGCCGCACGGCGTGTTGGTAATGCTCCCGGGCGCCTCCTGCCGGTAGCTGCCTGCAGCAGCGCATAAGGTAGCGGTAGAGATGCACGGGAGAGCGAACCAGCTCGCCTCCTGCCAGCCGAGGCGGCATCGGGAGCAGAGGAGCTTGCGACCCGGGGTCGGGTTCCCGGGGTCTCGTGGCCCAGGCGACGTGGCCGGGCGAGGTGAATCGGAGGGCGGCGAGTCGCGCTAGGCAAGACCGTAGGCTTCTTGAAGGGCGCGAGTAAGGCCGACGGAGGGTGAACGCGGGCTGGAGGCGGTTGACGTCGGTGCGTGGTGACGTCACGACGTGATGACGCAACGACGTAAGGGGGGGGGGGGGTGGGGAGGTGCCAATTCGAGAGACGTCGTGTTTTATAAACTGCAGCGGGAATCCGATGAGCTGGAAAGCTCTTGGTCTTGGTTCTTTCGGTAAAGTCACGTAGAAGATAAATAATAAAATAAAAATTTTAACATAATAAAATTGTATTTTATTATTCAAGTCACGTAGAAGGGAAATAATAAAAATAAAACATACATTTGTATTTTATTGTTAAAGTCACGTAGAAGGGAAATAATAAAATAATGAAATAAAACTTGATAAAATAATACAAATATAACATAATTAAATACTATTTTTTATTATGTTTTATTTTTATTATTTTATTATAAATCATAATTAAATACAATTTTATTATGTTTTATTTTTATTATTTTATTATTCCCTTCTACGTGACTTTACCGAAAGAACCAAGAAAATGAATCCCTGCAGTCACGAAAGCTTTAAATCGAAATGTAAAGCTCTTGTTCAGAGATGTCCAGTGAGGGGCACGGGGGTCAAAACTTTACAACGACAAACAATGCAAAGACACGATAGGAGTGCAAATTAAATGAGTGGTAAACAAATCACTTTAAAAATATACAAATAAAATTATAACATTAAAAAAAAATACCAGATAAAGCCCACTGAGCAATTAGCGTCGGGACAACAGCGATAAAATTGCAAAGAAGACGCCAAATTGGAAACTCTATAGGGGACATTATTGTAATAAAGCACACGTGGTTATTCAATATGTGGGCCACGTGAGGCGCTGTTGCAGGTAGCGGGCACATTGCGCGGAGCGGTGGTGCAGCGGTTAGCGCACTGCGCTACGAACCCGGCGAACCACAGTTCGATTCGCGCTGACGGTCAACGCCAGTGACGACTACCTGCACCGTTCCGGGGCCTCTCCGAAGGTCGACTCAGCCTCAAATGAGTTCATGGTGTGTTGTGCAAAAATATAAACCCCATTACTGCTGGGAAGACAAAGGCGGCCGGGCTTGGTACTGGCCACCACCCCCCCCCCAGCAGCTTCTAAAAGGCTACATGTCCTTAATACAGTTTTTTTTGGGTGAGATCGCGTAAATATATGAATATGTCGTTAAACCTGCCACCACAGCCATTTAATAAGGTTAGTCACGTAAACAGAACGTGCCAATTCGTCGCTAGTACACCACACCGGTGTGTTGGAGATCCAAGCCGCAACATTTACAATCTGAGTCCGACGTTTCGCCAGCAATTACAACCAGCTTCATCAGGCTATGCACCATATAGTTGACCCACTTGTGGTTTGCGCTCCTGAAACTGAGGAGGAACAGCACAAATCTCTCTCCCGAAGCTCTGTCGTAGTATTCTTAGGTTTTTTTCGGTAAAGTCACGTAGGTAAAACATGAAAATTAATAAAAGTAAAATAAATAAAAATCACGACGTTTCGGAGGCAACACAAGCTTCCGTCTTCAGGTGGAACCGTCACAGCCACGACAGCTGCATCAAGTAAATGAGAGATTGCAGGAGCTACCACTCCGTATATATAATGGTTGGAGAGGGGGGAAGGGCCAAGTACAGCACACTTTTGATTCATATGGTAAGGTGAGGCTTAAGAGGGTGAGCCTTTGTTATGGAGAAGTCGTAGTGGTCGACAGACTTCGCATTTATCTTCAGAACACATCGTGCGCAAAGAGTAAGGGGCCGTCCATAAATGACGTCACGCGATTTTGGACGATTTTTGACCCCCCCCCCCTCGTCACACGGCGTCACAAAAAGTCAGACCCCCCCCCTCAAATATGACGTCACAAAGCTCTGCCCCCCCCCCCCCCAAATTAAACATGCTTCAAATCGCTTTAAACTATTGTCATTGTAGTGCGTATTTAATGTGCCGCTGCACTCTGATGTAGGAGAAAACATTTTTCAAAAAGTTTCTTTAATTAAGTAGAACGTGTTGTCTATATTTATTTAAAGTTGCGCATTTTATGTGACGTCACATTTCTCAACCCCCCCCCCCCTCGTCACAAATGTCTGACCCCCCCCTAGGTGCGTGACGTCATTTATGGACGGCCCCTAAAACAAACGCAGTGGACACGACTCTCACCCACCAGCCCACCACCCTCCCTTCGCAGTTGGAGTGAGAGGCAGCGTGCGTGCCTTCTGACGTCACAACGCAACTCGGCGTGTGACGTCATCGCAGATTGATGCCCTCGTGAACGGCGAGGCCGCATTGCGGACTTTCAGGATCATCATCTTACACCATTGGAACCTCATTTGCCAGTAAAAAAAAATATGATAATTGTTTTTTTACCCTTTTATCTGGCAACAAAACTGACACCTCTTTTACGAGGAGTCATGTTTGCATAGACCACAATACCTGCAGTCATAATGCAAACAATAAACATAACTCTGATAATGTGCACTGTCCTTGAAGTTGATTGGTCCACACCCGAGACAGCTTTCCTTAGAGCCTAGTCTCACATGGGTTGGACCAGATGACGCCAAAAGGCGCACAACTCAAAGACAATGCACCATCAGAGTATGAGAGCTCGGGGTAAGCATTTACACCATTGGTACCTCATTTGCCAGTAAAAAAAAACATGATAATTGTTTTTTTACCCTTTTATCTGGCAACAATACTGACACCTTTTTTACGAGGAGTCATGTTTGCATAGACCACAATACCTGCAGTGATAATGCAAACAAAAACATAACTTTGATAATGTATGCACTGTCCTTGAAGTTGATTGGTCCACACCCGAGACAGGAAAGCTGTCTCGCAGGAGGAATCCGATGAGCTATGAAGCGCTTTTCTTTTCCACAGATGTCCTTGTTTGGGGCAGGTCAGAACGTTACAACAACACGCAGTGGAAAAAAACACGGCACGATTGCAAAGTGTATTGGGAAGGTAAAACAATCACTTAAAATATATACAGATAAAACTAGACTATTTTTTTTGTATCTTACCAGGTAAAGCCCACTGAGCGATTAGCAGTTTACCCAGCACTAATTCAAGCAAATCCTGACTATACTCTTAGGTTTTTTCGGTAAAGTCACGTAGGTAAAAATAATAATAAATGAAAATAAATCAATTAAATCACGACGTTTCGGAGGCAATATTTTTATTTTTACCAACGTGACTTAAAAAAACCTATGAGTATGAATCCTTGTAGTCACGAAAGCTTCAAATCTAGAACAAAGCCTGACTGCTGACGAGGCACTGAGTGTCGAAACTAGTCCATGCAGAGTGTTTTTGCTTGTCTTGAATCAATTATGCACGGAAATTATGCACTCCCAGAAGGACGGCCGTCAAGCTGATGGGATGTGTAATAATTTACATTAATTGTGCTGTGTATATTCTCCACTACGACCAGAATGGTTACTGTGTACGTTGAACTTTTTTCGCACCGTACCGTGCTAATCGGATGTGCGGGGGAAAGACAAAAAACTAAACACAAAACGCAGTTCTAAAGAAATTAGTTTTCAATTGAGATCATTTAGAGTTCAATTCAAATGAGTTTTTAATTATGGTGCCAAGTGTTTTGTGTCGCAATGCAAATGTGTTTTTTCTTGCTATATTATGTGCATTAGACAGTCCCTCCAGAAAAACGCGATTATGCGATCGCAAGATTCCACGCAAAATCAGCCAAAGTCCGCATATTTATGCGGGGGGCGCGTTTTTTCAAATACGCCGCACTTTCGCCGCATAAATTGCAGATTTCCGCGCGCAAAATACGCGGGCTTGCATGATTTCATAATCCCCGCATTTTCGTTGCAAAAAGTCACATATATCTTGGCAGAAAGTTGAAAAATGTTGCGTTTACTTCACACAAGCGCAGCCATTTCCCCTGTTGCCATGGGAACGTTATGAAGTGTTAGAGGCTACGTAGTTAGTTTTATTCAGGAGTTTATGCAACTTTACAGTTGTAAGATTGCACTTTTTTGTTAGTAGTATGTAAATTTACATTACTGTAAGACTGTACTGTTACTGTATTGCTTACGTTACTGTGCACTGAAAACACTTATTTTAACAGAAGATGTCTGTTTTGTATAGCTACCTCTGTAAAACAGGAAGCACACATTTTATTTTTTAATATTTTATTTATTCATTTTTACAGAAGTTGTAGCATATTCATTTTGTAAAGCTACAGAACTTGTTCGACTCAATGTTTTGTAAGTTTGAGCCATCTGTTTGTTAAGGTCTGAAATAAAACAAGATGAGAACTTAAATATTCCCAGCACTTTCTGTGATGTAGTATGCTTGCTTATCATAGGAAGTAATAAGAAATGACTCTTTACATTAAAGTAGTAGCCTAGTGAATAGGGTGTTGGGGGAATCACTTTTTTTTCTCTTTTTCATCAAACCGCAGTTTTTGCAAGTTCCTGCAGTTTTATCGCATAAAATTGCATAAATATCCCGCATATTCCATCGCATTTTTTAAGAAAACGTGCCGCATAATCAACGATTTTTGCCCGCAACAATCACCAAAAAACTCCGCGTTTTTCTGGAGGGACTGATTAGATGGCACGTGCCTCTCTATACCGCTCAAAACTCCGCACAAATGGATTTGTGGTAAATACAAAGACAACTTGAATCGATTACAATTTACTACGAGGATGCCACGTGAGCAGTGGTGCACAGGCACAATTAACAAAACAACATTTGAAAAAAAAAATTTGTTAATTTAAAAAAAGTGCTATGGGGAAGAGCCATTGCCCGAAACGTCGCCCTTGAAAGCCATGCGCAGTCATGTGTTGAGACATTTACGAAAGATATCGATTTTTAGAATCGACTCGCGTGTTAAGAATTAAAATAGATTCAACACCATTGCCCCCGGGTAATAGAAGAATCGAATCGAGCTGGGAATCGAATCGAGTTCGCTCTGGGGTTGGGTGGTGGAACTCAAACAGCGGTAATCGATTCCCCTCCGCATATATACAACGGTTACAGGGAATCGAATCGCCGGTTGCACCTTTTCCCCGTGAGGCGATGGCGGATCAGGCGGTGCACAGAGCCGGCGTCTTGAAGCAGAAGAACAAGACGCACAAGAACGGGCGGCACCGCACCAAGGGCGAGATCGACAGAGACCACAAGGGTACGCACGCTCTCGTCGGCGCTTCTTCCCTGTAGAGTTGCGCGGTTGCTGCAACTTGGCACTGCTGCTGGGGCGGCCACGTGTTCAGCCCGCGCCTCAGGCTTGCCTGGGCCTACACGTTGCCACCACGTGGTCGCTACATCATAAACAACTACGCTGGTTTTTAAGTATTTTATTTGTTATTTTGTATTAAACACAGTTGTAAACTCTGTTGTGATGTGTTTTATTTTACATGGCGTACGTTTGTAGTAATCGCTTTCGTGTATATATTTTTTTTCTTGGTTTTAAAGGACTTTGGCCCAACGGCCATGGTGCAGAGGCACACGTGAAATAGTTGAATACGTAAGCTCGTGGCTTTTATACGCAGGCTTTCGCGACCGACTTGATTCATAATCAATTTTTATTTTGGCACGTTTGATTGACGCTATACTTTAATTCATTGTCTGTATCGGGTGGACAAGGGGTTTCTCACATTTTTGTTGCACGACTTGGCTATTAAAAAAACTAACGTGATTAATTAAATAGTTAAGACTTGAGGCGTTGCTTTCCCCGCACGATGAATGACTTAAATGTGTCCGTAATTATCGTCGCCAGTCCTGTTAAATGAAACCCTCCACAACACGTGGCGGCTGTCGGCGAGCGTGACCGACCACGCTGTATCGCAGTGGCCTAGAACCGGTTCAGATAATCGCTCGCCAACGAAGTTGGTCACGAATCGAGCACAGGTCGCTGGCTTTATATATACTGTACTGTACCTACTGCAATGCGACTGTGCCATAGCAGATACTAAATATATATTGCTCGGCATAGTTCCCCGGTATCGACTTAACATTGGTCGCAAGAATGCACACGAGCCGAATCTGCTCGTGTGCCGGTAGGGTCCAGAATCATATTTATACTGAAGGAATCCGATGAGCTATTAAGCTATTTGCACATGTCCAGTCGCATTGTTACCGTCGCAGGATCGTGAAGTTGCAACGACATTGTCTGCCGGACGAAGTCGCCCTTTTAAAAATAGCTGCTTAGCTCAGTGGGCTTCACTCGGGAAATTAAACTCCAGACGCCTGCTTGGGGAGAGAGGAGGCCTTGATCCAGCAGCGAATTGACGAAGTCTGATGATGATGGCTTATAGCCCTTTCCAAAGGTGGGGGTCAAGCGTGTGCACGTTGAGTAATTCTCGCCTTCCCCATAAAACTCCTCGATGCAGAAACTCGGGGTGATTATGTTATTCTCCTCCCCCAAGCAGCCTCCGCGTTCAAGCTTATTGTGATCACAAGCCAATGATGCTTTGAGTTATCCCTGTCTGAAATACGTGTGGACAGAAACACGATCTGAGGCTTTGATCACTACTGCTTTGTCAAGCTAACGTGGAACTGTTCCAAGACGGTCAAGAATAAATCTCAGTTTGGCAGAGTGAAAACAATCCCAAGTAAAAATAGATGTATAAATAATTCGTCTGCTAAAATGAGAGTATCGGTGCTTGCTATTGGTGGCCCCGAGTCGGTTGTGTAAATGCCACACAGGCTTTTCGCAGGGTCCAGTCCCTCCTGGGGCAAACCACGGTTGACTTGCCACACCGTGATTTGATGCATATTTCCTCAACCCAAGTGGAGTGATGGGTATAGGCAAGCTCTGGATTACACTAAAACTAACGTTTACACCAACTAAAATTTTAACCCAAACCGTAACGCTTGCTCGAGCACTAAATTTGACCCTAACACGAGGTTTGGCCTCAACATTGACCCAAACATATAAACACTCTTCCTGATACAAACACTAATGCTAACCACCATCACACCGACACTGACCAAAAACAAACGCCAAGCATACATTTAACACCAATCCGAACACGGAAACGCACTGACCTTAACATTAACCCGAGCACACTGGATCTTCACGCAAACTTTCACCCAAACACTGAAACGGACTCTTGCAACAAACCCTGAACATAACACACCAAACCAAAACCTAACGGTAGCCCAAACAACTAACCCGAGCGCAAACACGACCCTCAACGTTTGCAAGCCGCGTGCAGTGACCATGGGAGTCGTGTGGCGGTCACGTGGTAACGTGTATTCCTCTTGTGCAGGGCGTGTGACCGTCAAGGCCCTCACGAAGAAAGCGCGACGGGAGCTGAACCGGCAGGAACGGCGGAACAGATCTACGCAGATCAGAAAAAACAAGCGCGATGCTGTGAGTGATGGCAGCAGATTCACCGTGGGTGCAGGCCAATCTGCAAGTTCGTGAGTTAAAATAAATAAATCTGAGCTTGAGGTGGATGGGTGACTCAGCAGTTTATGGTGCAGAATTGGGACCGTTGGGCTGCTGGTTTTCAAATTCGTTTTTCAGCCACTTGTGAGGAAACCGAGTTCACGAGCGTCGTGAGTTGATGGGCTCAGCCTGGTCACCCGATGACTTCCACCGAGATCTATATACTTGTAGAGACCGGCTTACAGAATAGTATACTTACGCAGAGATGAATAGACTTGCATATTAAACTGGGATCACAAGTGTAGCCCGTTGATGGACTTGGTCACAATGACTGCTCATCAAAAATAATATTAATTTCAGCTGTGAGAATTACAAATTTGATTCAGGATTCCCCGAATAATGATGATAGAAATAATCGAATTCCTCTCCCTGAAAACATTTTGAGGGAAGCAATTCCACCAAGCAGGGATCCATGTTAACATTTCTTGTGATCTGAAGCCAATGATGCTTTGAGTTATCCCTGTCTGAAATGTGTGTGGACAGTAACACAATCTGAGGCTTTAATCACCACTGCTTGTAACTTCAATATCTTATTGAAAACAATTGTGGTCATCCTAATTCCTTTTTTCAGTCTCCTGCTGGGTGAAAGCCTCTTCATGCCATTTTAGGCATGGGGGTTGTTTGACCATACTTAACCACTCTGATTGTTGTGGGTTGGTGAAGAGGGAGGGGGGGGGGCAAGAATTGGTTTAGATAACACTCGCCACTAATTCGTAAATATTTTTTTCACTTCATAAAAGTTGAGCTATTAGTGCTTAATAAACACAACACAATGCCACCAGGTCTTCAACAGCAAGCGGATGGTGGGTAGCAAGGACGGGCCGCCCCACCTGGTCGCCATCATCCCGCTGCATTCTGGGATAAGCACCGGAGAGGCCGTGCGGCTGCTGCGCTCGTGCGACGAGACGGTGCGCGTCGAGGATGGCCCCGCACCCGCCAGCGGCAGCGATCGCCGCGCCTTCGGCCTCGTGCTACCGAGGCACAAGCAGCGGCTTTCCTTCATCCATGTGGATCCTGGTGAGCCATGCGCTCCACCAACTTACCCCCCCACCTCACCTCGGTCTCCTCACCCAGCCTCACCTGACCTCACCCGTCAACTAGCCTCGCCCGGCCTCGCCTGGCCTTGCCTAAACTCACCCAGACTCTTCTAGCCCTAATACTTTTACTTGGCAACGGTCGCTCTCATTAATCTTCGTTCACACTGTGGAACCCTCATGACCTCAGCTTGGCTAATCAATGCTGCCTCGTGTATACAGTTACAATACAGCCTGGATTCATATGGAGCCTGAACAACTGACGACTCTGGAAACAGTAGGCATTTATTTTATACAGAGGCAGAAAAAAACCCATAGACTCGCACGGAGGCCTACAGACCTGTAATAGACTAGTATGGAGACCCTTAAATTATAATGCAATTTGGATTCATGTAGGGTCTAAACGAGACCATGTCTTGTGTAGACGCTGTACGTAAAAAGTGCATTTTATGTGGATAGGCAACAAAAGACGAACGGAAGGTCTTTAGAGCTGTCTATTTACGGGAGTGGCTTATATGTGGATTTAAGCTTAAGTCCTCGGTGATGTCGACTCATTTTTATTTGGGTGGTAGTCTGCCAAGCTTATCCAGCCATTGTGCAAGCGTGTCTGTGGGGCCCATTTCTGGCCGCTCAGCCCTGCGGCACCAGCTGCTGCGATGATGAAAACCCGTTTGTCTCGAGCTGTTCAGCGATGAGCGTCAATACATTTTCACCTCTAACGCGCTGAGCTGGTAGCCAGGGTACGCTGCGTCACAACGCGACATCTGCACCGCAGGGGTGGGCAGAACAATAACCTCAATAAAAAAAATTTAACGACCCACGCCACGTCAGTCGTGTGGGATGCTTGACAATACGTCTCCACGCTGGTCAGTTGCAGGTTACTCTAGGTAGAGAGGCCCAAAATCCGCTGAGTTGTCACTTGTTACTGAGGTTAGCTGTGATCAGAAATCGAAGTTAGGTCACCGGGTGCAATTACCTTTCGGCCACACGTTACAATACACATGAGCTTTTGGGACATGTTGGTGTTTTTCACATTTATGTATTGCCAGGGGCCGCACTAAAGGTCACCAGGGGCTGGCTGCCAGTGGCCCGTGGGCCTTGCAATGGAAAACACTGCATTAGCGTTATCCAATAATAGTGCGAAAAATGAGCGCTCGCCAAATGCAATGCCTATGCCTGCTTGCCTCTCACTAACTCGTTAATGATGGGTCGCGTTTCCGAAGTCGACACGCCGTTGTTACTTTGCGATGGGAATTTATGCTGTTCTTTTGGAATCTGATGTAATGCTCTAGAGTCTGGTGATGTAATTTTGAGTTGGTTCCCAGATGTATTTCTGGGGTTGTGCCATCTCGTTTGGCATGGTGTCCGCAACGTTGCGCTCCACGTGCTAGGAGCACGGTTGGCTACATACGGTGCAAAAGAAGTTCAGCATCAATATAAAGCTCCCAGCATGTAGAGTTCAATGACGGACATCGTGCCAAACCTCACGCGGTACGACCGAAAAATGTCGGAAAGCTCTACGGCACAATTGTGAAAATCTATGCCATGATTGTGAAAATCTACGCCATAATAAATCTAAATTGCCAACGCATCTCTTGATTGGGTGGAACAACGGTCTCTTGGCGGCCCCAGTTCCTGTGCGGTGAGATGGGCGAATGTTGTGGCGGCGTGTGGCTCACCATACTGACAAACGTCCGCCGTGTTTGTCGTTGTTGCCCGTGCGGCCCTTGCAGGCGACGCCCACGCCTTGCTGGACGCAGCCAAGGTGGCCGACACGCTGCTGCTCTTGCTGGAGCCCAGTGACGGGTGGGACGCGTCCGGGGAGCACTGCCTCTCGTGTCTCTTCGCCCAGGGCCTGCCCAGCTGTGGTACGTGCGTGACCTCAGATTAGCACGGTTGGCTATGTACGGTGCGAAAGAAGTTGAACATACACGTTACCACCACGCCCCCCCCATCCTACGAAGCATCACTGCTGCCCTCTTCACTACACAGCCCCACCACCCCCCAATCACCACTGCCAGAACACTATATAGAGGGTATTTGGCCTACTCCTCCAGACATCTTGAAAGAGGTGAGAAAACCCACACTTTACCCCACCACACTAAACCTACCGATCAACGATCTTATAACCATTCATGCTTCTCGGTGGACAGGCATTGCAGATTTAAGAAACTTGTCTTTTGTTTCAACCACGGTGTCTTTAACACAATTACAACCCTTTTGTATCATTCAAAATAATACATTTCATTTCGTCAGTTATGCTTCGGTGGGTAGCCGCAGTAACATTAACGCGTGACGATTTCCATCCACTCGTAATCATCGTCGACCGAAAAAATATCCTTCCTTGACGATTGTTTCCCCCACATTTTCTTTAACAAAATGAACTCTCTTGCCCACCCCCCCTTCCCTGTGCCACCACGACGCCCCAGTATTCGGTGTAGTCGGAGCCTCAGAACTGCCGGCTAAGAGGCGCGCCGAAACGCGCACGAAGCTGTGCCGCCTGGTGGATCGGCGCGTGCCGGGCGCGCGCCCCCTGCCCCTCGACTCGGCGGGGGAGGCAGCCCTGCTGCTGCGCCAGGTGTGGTCCCAGCGGCGCGCGCGGGTGGCGTTCCGAGAGCGTCGCGCGCATATGTTGGCCGAGCGCACGCAGCTGGTGCCAGGTGCCAGCGTGGACGGGGAGCCGGCCACGCTCCTCGGCACGCTCAAGGTCACCGGGTGAGCGGGGTGCGTTTGGCGAATGGGATGGGTGGGTAGGGGCGAGTTGGTTGGGGGTGGGTTAAACGAGGTTGGTGGTTGATTGCTGTTTTTATTTCCCGAGTAAAGCCTATTGAGCTAAGAAGCTCAGGAAATGACGAGTTTGGTGAGTGGTGGCACGAGTGAGAAAATGGGCGAGAGTAAATGTAGGACGAGTGAGTTGATCGAGTGGGATGGTTGGATGAGCGAGTTTGGTGGGTGAGAGAGTAAAATGCCTGAGTAGTTTGGCACGGGTATGGCGAGTTGTTGGATTTTGGCGAGGTTGATGAATGGGTGAGGTGAGAGTGACTTGGTGTGGGTAAGAGCATGCATGTATGGGTGGCTGAGAGAGTGATTGTCTGCTCCACTGGTTGGGTGAGTACGAGTGTGGAGGGTGTGTACGCCACCACGCTTGACCGACTTGGTTGTTGTCTCTGCACATGCGGTAACGTCTCTCTCTTGGCCCTGTGCAGCTACGTGCGCGGGCGTCCTCTCAACGTGAACGGCCTGATCCACCTCGCGGGCCTCGGCGACTTCCAAATGAGCCAGATCGACCTCGTCCCTGACCCGCTGACCCTGAACCCGCGAGTGCCGCGCCAGGCAAAGTCCTCCGCTGACGTGGAAATGCAGGTGACTCCCCCGCAGCGACCACTTCCAGGTGCCGCTGTCGCTCCCCTTCTCCTGATGAACCCCCTTGTGGTTCTGTCGCTTGAATTTGTTATTGCCAATGAAATTACTTTAGCGGTTGGTCTGGTGGCTTTGCAGTTGGCACACTGCACTAATAACCCAGCGACCTTCATACGATTTACAAAGTTACTGACGAGTGGCATCTGAACCAATCCTGGGTACCTCGCCCCACTCGACCGACCCGCTTGGTGAAGTATGGTCAAACAACATCTCGTCCAGCGGGTTCTGTTTAAAAACGTGTGTAGCACTATGGCAACAGGTCTAAATATACAGAATGAAGTTGCTGAACCTGTTTAAGTGCCACGTGGTCAAAAGCCAATGATGCTTTAAGTTATCCCTGTCTGAAACTTGTGTGGACAGCAACACGATCTGAGGCTTTGACCACAGCTGTTTTGCGTAAAGCTTCGTGGAAATATCACCGGCGTCCATTCATTATTAGTCTGGTTAGCTGATAGGTCATAGGAGCAGGAAGCCACATTGAAAATGTTGTGGCATGCAGGGAAGGTTTTGAAACGATTACTGATTTCCCGAGTGATGTAACGTAACCCCGGTGGTTGCCCCCCTGTACCCCCTCCCACCCCCTTGCAGGAAGATGCGGATGAGGTGCGGGTCCTGATGCGGGCTGACCCCGCACGGCAGGTGCCCCTGGATTGCGAGGCCGTGCCCGACCCGATGGAGGGAGAGCAGACGTGGCCCACCGACGAGGAGCTCCGAGAGGCCGAGGGTGAGAAGGGAGGGGTTCGGAGCAATTTGGCGGGTGTGTGTATATGTACGTATGAACTTCTTTCGCACCGTACGTAGCCAACCGTTCTAATTGGAGGTGCGGGGGAACGACGGCAAACTAGACAAAAAAAATCAGTTGTAAAGAAATTAGTTTTCAATCTAGATTTAAAAGTGCATACCTCCAGTGGCTTCCTAATATTGAAAGGAAGAACGTTCTAGACGGCTGCAGATGCGCATCTGAAAGCGCTTGATGCGATGACCATCTTTGTTCGCTGGCTAGCCAAAAGTCGCTGCAAGGATGACCGAGGCTCGCTTGATGGCAAATGCTCCTTGATGAGATCAGCAAGGTAATGCGGTTCATTTGTGGCAAGCACTTTGTGATCTGGTTGGGTGCATGGGGGGGTGAGAGGGAGGGATTCGATTTCCATGTTGATTTTGTTGAACCTGGTGAAAGCTTTAGGGGACCAGAATAGTCACTTTTTTAAGAGTGACCTGGGTCTACCAGCATGATAAATAAATCTACAATAAAGTACAGCAACGAAGTGAATAGAAAGTGGAAAAAAACAACTGCGTCATCATATGACAAATCTTTGTCAAATCGTACATTTACTGGAGCGTAGCGTAATTTGGCTCGGGCAGACTATTTTTAGACTGATCATAGTACAATTACAATTGAGCTACAGAAACTGTGACATAGCTATGGGATGACTTACTCAAATGTAAACAGGGGGGTTAGAGGTAGGTTGGGAAAGAATGATTGAGGATGCGTGGGGGGGTAATTAATCGAGGCTTGAGTTGGTGGGAGGAGTGCGTGTTTTGCATGATTGAGGGTTTCGTGGTGGGAGCAAGGCTCCAAGTGGGTGGGAAAGAGTGAGGTTGGGTGGTAGGTGGGGGAGGAGTGCAGCTGAGAGCAATGTTGGAAGGGAGGATGTGGGAGGTTTAGGTGGTGAGCTTAGAGGGTTAGTGCATCGGCGAGAGTGGCTGGGGTGTGGACCAGGTACGTGGTAGGTTGTTGGGCGTGTGTGGATGGTGGATGTTCCACTATGGGAGTGCAATTTATAAACCTTCTCTTTTGCCCATCTGTGTCCCCTCTGTCTCTCCCTCCTGCCCATTCCTTCAACTACTTCGTCCTCTCTGCCTGCGTTATCTCCTCCCTTTTACCACCCGGTCCTCCTACCTCTCTCTCTGTCCTCTCCTCCCCACCGCCCGCGCCGCCCTGCAGAGTCCCTGGCTGCGAAGAAGCGAGAAGTCCGACGCGTGCCTCGCGGGACGTCCGACTACCAGGCGAGCTGGATCATAGACGGGGGCGGCGGCGGCGAAGACGACGACGACGAAGATGATGATGACGACGATGAAGATGATGATGACGACGACGCCATGGAGGAGGTGGCCGGGTCCCAGGTATGATATTTTTCTCGTCCCTGATGGTGCTATCTTTATGTGGTGGAGATGACTAGTGGACATGGGGTAGATTCCACGTCCGGCCACCCTAAACAAAGGGGCCGGTAGGGAAATGAGACAAGTTTCAGCAAAACGTGAACTTGTTATTCGTGTGTGTGTGTATATAATTAGCATGGTTAAGTATGGTCAAATAACCTGCAAGACCTCACCCAGTAGTGGTTTAACAAAGGGCTGTGCATATTCACGTGGAGTATTTTTGAAAAAAATATATATTTTGTCTCTACATATGAAATAAAAAATATTCTTCCAGTCCCTCTGGCTATTGCTCCACCAGACTACCGACATTGAACAGCATTTGTTTTGTCGGACATCGATCTACTCGGCCCACGATCCCTCCATGGTCGATAACGTGAATACCACTGTGAGACCTCCTTTACCAGTGGCAAAATATAGTAATAGGTTTTTACCCTTTCAACTGGTACAAAAACTGACACCTTTATACAAGGCATCATGTTTGCAATAACCACAACACAAGCAGTCAAAATGCAAACAAAAAGAAACAACTCTGATGATGATACTGATATGCACTGTCCTTGTAGTTGATTGGTCCACACAAGCTGTCTTGGGTGTGGACCAATCAACTTCAAGGACAGTGCATATCATCATCAGAGTTGTTTCTTTATCTTTGCATTTTGACTGCTTGTGTTGTGGTTATTGCAAACATGATGCCTTGTATAAAGGTGTCAGTTTTTGTACCAGTTGAAAGGGTAAAAACCTATTACAACGCGAATACCACTGACGTCGGCAGCAGTGATCGTGTTAGATTGTGTGGGCCCCTGCCAGTGTAATGTGGAATTGCTCACACTGGCTCGGGGGCCACCAATAGAAGTGGTCATTCAGTTTGTGCGCGAACCCATTGGAAGAAAAACTCCTCTCGCAGGATTCTCGGCTGACCGACTCGCAGAAATGCAACGTGTACCGTCGATTTGTTGGGGGACCAAAAGCCAATGATGATTTTTAAATCCTTTATATTAAGTTCGCTTGCTTGCTTGCATGCTTGCTTGCTTGCGACCGTGCAAATCTTTCGGTCGTTTTTTAACCCACTTCCCGTGATCCAAACGAGCTGACATTTTCCACACAGACTCGTTGTGCGTGACAATTAATGTTCGTGAAAAAAAATTCCCAAAATTTTACACTGTTTAGGGAAAACAAATTAAATATTTAATTACCAATTGCTTAATACTGGCAGACAATCATCTGATCCATAGGTGGCAGCTATCTCAAGCCAGAGGACGAGAAGACTCTAGCCGCCACGCATATAAAGGATTTATAGTGAAAAACTTTGTTTTTACAGGTTTACTTGTTTCGTTATCCAGATCTGAACATCCCGTGTGGACAATGCGATTCTGAGGCTTTGGTTGCTGACTCTTACGCAGCGTTTGTCTTGGTCATGGGGTGACTAGGCAGATCCCACAACCCCCCTCACTTTAAATAATCCCAGCCATAGCCCATCGCAAACGCCCCTGTTCGCGGAGGCTCTCATTCGGCAGTGGATTGACAAAAAGGACAAGTGTTCCTACTTGCACATGTGGGCTGACAAGTTTTTGCAGTACAACAAACTATCCAAACTAAGAACTATTTTACTTTACCAGGTAAGGCCCACTGAGCTATATAGCTCTTTGTCAGAAGTTGACATGGCTATCACAAATGATAGCTCAATGAAGTGGCTTATCACGAGGACATTTCTAGCAGCAAAATGCTTTACACTCATGTTTCTCACTGGAGGCAGTTGGGATCGAACCCACAAGCTCCTGTGATTCACGGTGACTGCAGAAGATCAGAATCAGATTTTTTTTTTTTACTGGGGGAATCTGATGAGCTATAAAACTCTTTTTCACAGATGTCCAGTAGGGGTGGGTCAGAACATTGCAACAACAAACAAGACAAACATACAATGGCAATTCAAAGTATAGGAAAGGGGAGCAAATCACTTAAACAAATATATACAAATTTAAAAAAATTATCGTAACAGCTTCTTTTACTGAGACGACTTGGCCACATGATAGCTCAACGAAGCGGCTTAATCACGTGCAAATTAATCGCAGCCAAATGCTCTTAAACGCACATCTCTTCAACAAGGCTGTCCGTGTGGTTTCCCTACAGGAGGGCAGCATGGACGACGATGCCAGCTCCGACGGTCGCGACGATGACTGACGGCGGCGACGAGGATGGGGGCGAGAGCGTGGCGGGCACAGGCACGGTGTGCGACGAGGGCTACGACGCGAGGATGGATGAGGAGGAGGACCAGGTGGCACTGGAGAAGTACCGCGAGGAGAGGCTCGACCGCATGTTCCCCGACGAGGTCGACACGCCCAAGGACGTCAGCTGCCGCGTCAGGCAAGGGCCGCCCTCTCCTTTACGTCTCCCGGTCGCTCTGCGTGTGCTTCATCGGGGAGCGGTGGCGTGATGGTTAGCAAGCTGCGCTACGAACCCGGCGACTTGCGTACGATTCCTGTTCACGGTCAACGCCAGTGACTTACCTGATGAACCCCGTCCTCTGCCTTCCTGAGGTCGACTCGGCCTCAAATGAGTACCTCTTGTGATGTGTAAATGTCGCCACTAGGGAAAAAAAGGCGGCCAGGCGTGATGCTGGCCATCCCACCTCGTGTGCCGTGCTGGCCTTCATAGGTGCTTGCTATAACAGCACTTGCACAAACAGTCAGTTTAAGGCTCTATAAGGGATCTTAATCTTTGTTAAGACTTTCCAACATTTATCTTAGTATTTGGGTTTTTCAGTTTCAAGTTTGATCTCGAAAGGATCGGAAAATAAGATAAATGTACACACCTTATTTTCAATTGGACGGTATCTCTGTACGTGCCTGCCTGTTCATGTGGGGGCGGCACGAAAACTCTCAGATGCTCCTGAGCTAACGCAAAAAGGGAATGGAATTTTTAGGTGATCAAAAGCCAATGATGATATTTTCGGTACCCAGATCTGAAAATTCAGTGTGGAAAATGTTAAACTCTGAGGCTTTTGATCACTGAATCTTAAGGAAGTATTTGGTTTTTTGTAATGGGAATCGCTGGAGAGATTTATTAATCAACTAGTCTACCCGCTAATCGGTTGAGTAACCGATTGCTTAACTAATCGGAGAGCCCAGCTCGAGTTTACATCACCAACTCTCAGTGTCATGCCCTCTCTACTCTACAACCCCGCTGTTTCCTTGCCCACCCAACCCCAGCCTGGGGTCCAGAACGATCGTGGACTCGACATCTTTTCTACTATTTCACATCTGATTATTGGAGGAATATAACTGATAATCGGTTGCGTTAATCTGTCGCTCAAATAATTATCAGACCCGGCCCCACTTTTGTTTCCATTTGTGCGCCGATTTGTTGCATTGCAACGGTTCGCGGTACATCCCCGCGTCTCATCCTCGCGACGTTCTGACCCCGCTGTTGTTTTCCGGCCCCCGACCCAGGTTCCAGAAGTACCGCGGGCTCAAGAGCTTTCGCACGTCGCCCTGGGACCCCAAGGAGAACCTCCCGCTGGAGTACGGGCGCATCTTCCAGTTCCAGAACTTTGCGGCGGCGCGCAAACGTGTGCTGCGCGACTCTCAGCAGGACGTGGAGGGAGCGGCGGTGAGCGACGCTCCATGGAATGCGACGTGCACGAATAAACACAAATGGATTCTAGCACGCGTGATTTGATCGGTGTTTTGTGAGCTGAAGAATCAATGTCAATAGGCGAATCGATGCATCGTTGCACCATTAACAGTGATAATTCATGTCAACCCGGGGAAACCCAGAAGGCGTCTGTGGGGGCGGCATGGCCTGTGATGTTACTAAGTTATCCCTGTCCGAGACACTTGCGTGCGGACGTCCTTTCTTTACTGAGGTCATGCCGCCGTCACGAGATGTGATGGGGCAGTGGGCACTGGGATGCTTTGTGAAGTCGGTGTAGTTTATGGTTGTTTGTGCTTTTAACTATCCACTGGAATTGGTGCTATGTCTTGCCACCTGTTAATATCAGCATTTAGAGACAACGGTGGTCGGGTGTAGTGCTAGCAGGTTACTCGCTAACAGCACTTGCTGTTACAGTCTGAGACTTAACGGGGAGAATCTGTGTGTGTGTGTGTGTGTGGCGTGCAGCTCGGCTTGTACGTGACCGTTCACATCCCCAACGTGCCCCTGGACTTGTTGGAGGGGCGCCAGCCAGACGCTCCGCTTGTCCTCTTTGGGCTCCTACCACACGAGCACAAGGTGAAGCCACCATTCGCGCCACTGCTGGCGCCAGCGCCCGACATCGTCAGTGGCCCTGTTCGTTGCCAACTTCTGCTTGACTGTTGACAGAATCGTTGAATGCCATCGTCACCGACGCCGATGCCGTGACTTCACGTCAAAGCCACCGAAACTTGACGGCAATACCATCGCCGTCTACCGCATCATCAATCATCGAGTCCCGCACCAGCACCGTCGGTAAAGCTAAAGCAATGTATGCCGCTCACCCCGCAGATGTCGGTGGTGCACTTTGCGGTGCGGAGGCACCCGGGCTGCACGGAGGTGGTGAAGGCCAAGGAGGAGCTGGTGTTCCACTGCGGATTCCGGCGGTTGCGAGCAAAGCCCATCTTCTCGCAGCACACTGGAGGTACCCCTCCTCCACCAACTGCCACCGCACGTCACCAAGTAGCACCACACATGCGCACCACACCATCGGGCATCGTAGCACGCCAACAAACAAGCACCACAGCCACCCCCTCCCCCTTTCACGGAAGGTCACACAGCACACAGGTGCATGGTGGCGCTTAGAATGATGTAGTGCTTCGGGGTGGTTTGTTGTGGCCACGTGTGACGGTATGTGGTGGTTCTCGGTGTCAAGAGAACACGCATTTTATCCAATCGGTTTGTATTTATTATAGCTCCATATAAGGAGCAGGACCAAGATTCCACCATCAAGTGCCGCCACCACACCATTGAACACGACCACATGGGCCCAAGCACTACAGCCATGGGTGGTGTTCCCATCCACTCTTCTAATACAAAGGGAAAGCATAGTTTTAAAGAGCATCTCCAAATTTCCTGCGTCCCTTTAAATTGGAAAGGCTATATATCTGTTTTCGCCTTGAGCAGTGCAGAAGTATATTGGCATCGCACAACGTAGTTTTTTCTATAAATGAACCAAAAATGAAATGGTGACTCGATGAACCTCATTCATCGCTTACAAAGTGTCACACTCCAAATAACACTGCAGTGTTTCAAAGTTTTCTCATTCCCCCCTCGGCCTGCTAATTCAAGCGTGTCCAATCTTCCCTGCTCAGCGGTGTCCTGCCATTCCTGGTTCACAAGCCTGTGATGTACATCAAGTTATCCCTGTCTGAGCTGACGATGCTGACAACTGAGTTATCTGAGGCTTGTACCACCAGACTGCTTACATGGATGGGGGTGGTGGGAGGTGTTTGTCACTTAGGAGTCGAAACCGATCATTTAAATCCTGAAAACTGGAATTTTGTGAAATGAAGTGAATACCATAATTAATGGTGACTTTAATTGTGCAGTTACTGATGGACCAGGGCTGAAACCCACCTGTTTTTTTTCCATAAAATAAAAACATTTCTTTTGTATTTGTTGCTGCTGTGCTCGCGCACCTCAGGGATCTCCATTGTAAAATAGCCGGGCAACTGACTAAACGGGCTCATCGTCTGTGTAACAAATAAAATAAAAAACTTAATCATTTGAGAACACCAGTCGAATCGCATGCGGATGGTAGAACCCACTATTGAACCCAGGATCTCAGCAGTGCCAGCTCTTCTGAGCACTGACTACCCGAGCCGCCACCCAAATCCCGTATAGTCAACAGCGGGCGCCGAAGTGCATGCACCCTGCGGTGAAACTGGGGTTGCTCAAATGGAGCGACTGTCGTGAGGATCACCATTGAGTCAGCAGGACTGTTTCGCACGATGCCGCCGAATAGACTTTCCCAAGATCCACGGCAAGGCCTTCACCTCTGCTGACCGCGTTCCCCCCGCAGGCGACAAGCACAAGATGGAGCGGTACCTGCGGAACGATGTGCCGATCGTCGCCACGGTGTACGCACCCATCATGTTCCCGCCGGCTTCTGTGCTCGTCTTCAAGCAGCATCCCGGTGGTGAGGGGGTGGCGGGGGGGAGGGACACGGGGCAGGGGTGGGGAGAAGAGATGGAGCTGTGGAACGTTTGTCGACTGCCGCGTGGCAAGATTGCCTCGGGGGTTGGCTTGTAATGGCCACGTGGATTTATTGCCAGGTGACGGCGCATTGAGACTACAATTCCTTATTGACTTACGGAATTCAGCCTTAGCCCGTGAAGTGAAATGGGCCCAGAGAATTCATCCGATTTGAGTTGACAAAGAAATGAAACTGTGCTGATAGTTAAGTCATTGCTCAAGCCTTGGGCTGGTAATGGCCCTATTGGAGCACATCGGACTGCGCAAATCATGGTTTCTCTCGGCCTAAGGGCTGGTTCTGCCAATTCTCATTCGAGTCGCATAATTGCCTTGTCGACAGCACTGAGCCCGGCACTTGTTATCAAGAGCTCTCAAGCCCTAGGACTGGGCTTCTGTTTATACATTTTGGGGTCTAATCATGACCTTAGACAAGGTCATTGTTATCCTGGCCCCAGCCATTAAATGACCACACAATAATATTTGTACAGATTTATTAAATTAATTTTGCTTCGCCCAGATGTTTTCATAAACGAATGTTCCTGTGCCCCCCGGATGTATGGGTTTACCGTACCACACCGAATGCACTCTCTCGTCCGATTACACTTAAGTTAAAGTCGCTCGTACACGCTTGCGTCCCCCTGCACGTGCAGGCTCCCAGGAGCTGCTGGCGACGGGCTCGCTGCTGAAGCCGGACCCTAACCGCGTAGTGGTGAAGCGTCTGGTTCTCAGCGGGCACCCGTTCAAGATCAACAAGAAAGTCGCCACGCTGCGATACATGTTCTTCACCAGAGGTGGGTGCTCGCCAACGACACTGCTGGCACGTTAGGGCACGCCCCGGGTGATTTGGTCGTAGGCACGGAACCTGCTTGTTTGCGGTGTCCAAGACGTGGAAGCGCTCGCCGTGTGCCGAATGCAGTAGTGTTGATCTCTACACCACCCCTTCTCCCTGCCTCACCGTGTGTTCGTCGTGGCGGTACTTGCATCGTCTTGACGAGCCGTGGCGTGGGAGAGTCTAACCCGGTGACGCGTTCCGTGCCCCCTCTCGCCGCAGAGGACATCATGTGGTTCAAGCCGGTGGAGCTGAGGACGAAGTGGGGGCGCAGAGGTCACATCAAGGAACCCCTGGGTAAGTTGAATCACAAATGCACGCCTCGTGTGGTGGAGGACGAGAACAGCCTTCCACGACTTTGGGGTTCAACAAGTCCAGAGGGGGTCACCAAATGCCACCAAATCTAAACTAAGACATTGACATGGGATTAAAATTAATTTCACTTGTCCGAGATTAACTGTGAACAAGCTATTGGTGTTCTTGGTTCTTTCGGTAAAATCACGTAGAAGGGATATAATAAAAATAAAACATAATATAAAATGATCACGACGTTTCGGCCACAACGCAAGCAGCCGTGCTTGCGTTTTGGCCAAAACATCGTGAGAATTTTATTATATTATGTTTTATTATTATTTCCTTCTACGTGACTTTACCGAAAGAACCAAGAATATGAAACCCTGCAGTCACAAAAGCTTTAAATCGAAATTAAAGCTATTGGTAATTAAAATGCTAATGGTCTCGGGAGAAACGACCCATGTCTCCCCCGCACTTGCAGCCTTGTTTAACGCTTCCTCTGGTGTTAATCTTCGTCGGTATTTTAAATTTTATACAAAGTTCACGGCAACCTTAGTAATTTGAATCAAGTCTTAGTCTCTGGATTTAATTAATTAATTCTCTTCGGTTAGGTGGCTCAAGCAGTCACAATGTAGTCTACTCTTAGTTGGTGTAAGAGGTGTGCATCCAATTGGTGAATCTAATATTTGTCTGCACACAAAAATAGCCAATTATCTGCGTTCTCTTGTAACGCTTATGAATTATCATAGTCTGCGTCTGCAACTAAGATAAGTAAGTCTCGCCTTGTCAATAAAGCTGAGGTGCCTCTTTTAACTGTCGTCCCGCATGGCGATTTTCATACACTTGTCGCGATTGTTGACTGGATTAACAGACATTGGGTTGGCGAATCCTCATGGCTGGTGTGCCCCCCCCCACCCCATCTGTTCCTCACCGCAGGCACACACGGCCACATGAAGTGCGTTTTTGACGGGCAGCTCAAGTCGCAGGACACGGTGCTCATGAACCTGTACAAGCGCGTGTTCCCGCCCTGGTCCTACGACGCGCACGTTCCGCAACCAGCGCCGTGGGAGCCCGGGCGGGAGGCAGAGCGTGTCTCCCAGCGCGAGGACGCCGACGAGGACGAGATGGAGTGAAGGGACCGTGACACAGACGGCCCATCGTGAGAATCGGCCAAATAAAAAAAATCCAATTGGTGGTGACGGGCCTGCTGACGCGACTTGAGCAGAGGGTGGGAGGGTGGAACGTGTGGTTCATGGGCTCGACGCGCCCCGTGACTTCGTTTTATCTGGCCTGACGACCTGCAGATGGAATGAACGGGACCGTGATGAGAATGGCTGTCATCAGACTCGGCCGAATAAATAACTAAACTGGCTATAGCCTGCTTATGAGATGGTAAAGTAAGGGAGGGGAACCTACAAGGGTGTTCATTTTTGGCCTGCAGGTCAATGAGGCCCTTCCACTTGAGTGCCGCCCACAAACTATTTATTAAGCACTGCAAGCATCTCTCGGCAGCACTACTCCGGTACTAAAAACCTCCAGAATTATTTTGAGCTGCCAACAATGGCTTCATAAATTTAGCTTGCTTAGGTCACTTGTGTGACTACGAGGGCCTCCTACAGAACAAACACGTTTGGACTCTCAGTATATGATAGTTTCTGTGGTCATTGTATGTACAGTAACAGAATTGTTACCGAATCTATATTTTATTTTATTTTACCAGGTAAGGCCCACTGAGCTATATAGCTCTTTTTCAGAAGCGACCTGGCCACAAATGATTGCTCAACGATGTGGAAATGTATTGCAGCCAAATACTCTAAACACCACGCATTGATTCTAAATGTGGAGCGAAAAACCGGAGGACCCGGAGAAAAAAACCACGCGCCCACGGAAAGAACACGCAAACTCCAAATATACAGGTGTGAGAGTCTGGATCGAACCTGCATACCAGGCGAGGTAGTTTACATCTCGCCACCGTGGCCCAACCAGCAGCGCATTTCGCCCATCTTCCATCTGCCATTGCTGAAGCTCCTCGTGTCGATAACATTTTGTGTTTCTGCAGTTGATAAAGTCACTTTATTTACCCCCATTGTCATCCAAACGACCGTATAGTTCAGGGGTGGAGAACGTCCGGCCCGCGGGTCGTATGAGGCCCGCAAAATCATTTGGTCTGGCCCTGTCAAGGCAACCGTAGGCGGGACTCGAAATTCAATCAATCTAGGAGCAAACCTGGAAAAGCTGTTGCGCTAGTAGCAACATCAATACCAGCTAACGTCACGCCTCGCCAAAGAGAAGCAGTTCCAGCCATCACATTAGGGGTGAGTTAATTAAATGTTTGACCAAATATAACAGGCAAATTTTTAAGTTGATAATTTAGTATGGCCCGCGAATGATGTTATAAATATCAAAATGGCCCTTGCCAGAAAAAGGTTCCCCGCCCCTGGTCTAGTTGCTAGTGGCCCTATTGGGCAGTGCAGCGTAAATCCACGTGTTTGGAAATGAAAATGCAGATCGTAAGGAAGGGGGGGGGGTGAGAGATGAAAAGTGAAGTGCCGCGTTCGTTAGGGTTGGCGCAGTCCACCTTTAAGGCCATTTTAAACTCGAGCGGACATGGTGAAGGCGACCATGCAGAACTGTTTTTCTATTCTGTACCCCCACCACCTTTGAAGTCCTGGAATGCATCCCCTATGCCTCCTTTGGTAACAACGTTTTTGACGGCGAAGTGACGTCACGGAACGCATCTACTTTGTTCGCAGAGGTATTGCTGTACATGGTAGTTGCTGTGGTTAATCGCCTCCAAAACTCTGGTTTGCAGGTGTGTGTGCGCGTCGGTTTAGCCTGGTTGAAAAGGGTGTGTCTGTCAAGTAAAAACGGTGCATTGATAACGCACACGCTGATTTCAGTTTGCGTCCGGTGGACCTTTTTAGCTTAACGTGTTGGTAAACCTTAAGCATTTTAGAGCTTGGAAACTGCCCTCTTGTATTTTCATGTCTATTTTTTTATGAGAAGCACGATTGAGGACATGTGCAGCGCAGTTTCAATTCGCTTCTGGTCAAGGTCTCTCCCCACGTCATGCACGTGGGGGGGTTTATTTGACCATTTGCTACGCTGGCCAGTGTTGGTTAGCGAAGACGGGAAGCATAGATGCTGGAGCATAGAGGTGCAGTACAACAATGGATTTTGTTGTACAGCCCTCTGCTGTCCATATTTCGCAAGTACGGAATTCCATCGGTTACGGGATGTAAGCGATGTGTGTGAAATGTTCATACGATTGTAAGATATTGTAATCATTTACGTACGAGTACCTTGTACAAAATGTACTACTAAGTGCTGTGTTCTTAAATTAAAAGGCAAGTTTGGTTGATATTGCAAGCAGTGCATTGTTCTTTGTTTCCTAATGAAAGCCGCAAGTGTTACGAACGACCTCGGAGTCCAGCATTGGTTTGTTTCAATTATTTAATGAATGGATCTATTGCCGTTATCAATCCACAACTGGATGAAGGCCTCCCCAAAGCTGTGACCAATGAGGGTTGGGGAATATGGGGCCCCAAGAGCGGTTTGGATATCACGCGTGGAAATTTCGTATCTTGATGTAAAAACGTTGGCAGTGATGATAAACCAAGCAAAAGCTTAGGGTCCCCAAGTAAGTCGAGGTGCCCCGGAATAAAAAACATTTTTTGGGATACGGCAAATGTCAGCTGAAAATGCAATCCTAATGAACATTAACTTAAGCCAATGCATTGCTCGTTTCTATTGTCCACATCATCTCTCACCTCACTACAGTTCTCGTTTACATTAATCCATTTATCTCTCGATCTCTTATGTTAATCTCACGGTGATTGTATAACTTAAGGGTGCTCTCTATAAAAAAAAAATATTCGACTTCAGGCACCCAAAGGGCCAGCACCACCCATGGTCATGGACCACAGTTAGTATATATATTGGTGATTTAAAAACCAACTCCCTCTTGCTGAGAAAGTCTTGCAAATTAAACTTCAGCGGAGATGTATCATAAACATATAACTAGCAAACCCGCACGTGCTTTGAATGTGACTGTCCAAGCGTCCGTCCATTCGATCTGTCCAATCTTCCGTCCAGCAAAGCATCTGTCCATTCTGTCTGTCCGTCCAGCCGTCCGTTTTGTCCGTCCATCCACAGTATTAAAAACAAACTTGCACTCTCTTGGGTTAATTGCACAAAGTTCCCCGAGTTGAAGAAGCGGGTAATGAGCATCTCGATGGAATGTGACCTCTGATTAGACGCCGCTAATTCCCTGCTAACGTCTGCGTTAAGGAGGCATGCGGTGCATGAATGTAACCTATTATTAAATTAGACTGTAAGCGATTAATTTTTCTTTTGTTGCACGCTTCGTTAAGGCGAATTTTCAAATAAATTGGGCAAAAGGCAATTGAGGCAAAGGCGCAGCCCTGCAATTGCTGGCTGAAATTGCCTCCCAACACGAAGTCTTGGAAGGTGGCACCTACCCACACTTTACCCAACCACACGAGCTGATGAGCAAACTACCTTTCGTGTTAAATTTTGATCTAAAGCTTTCGTGACTGCAGGGATTCATATTCTTGGTTCTTTCGGTAAAGTCACGTAGAAGGGAAATAAAATAATATAGAAAATAATATTTGTATTAATTTATTATTTCCCTTCTACGTGACTTTACCGAAAGAACGAAGAATATATATATACCTTTCATGTTACCCATTTATACTGCTGGGTGGAGAAACGTGTTCACTTGTTTCAACCCGGCAACCTCTGGGAACGGACGTCTAATGGAAACAGCCGATTGTCAGACGCACGAAGCGTTTGTATTGCTAGCGAATGGAATCTATAATTGTAATCGATTAATCTATCGGCAACAACACCCGCTATTCACCACTAAGTGACGGTGACCTCACTACGGCGCCTGTGCCAGGCTAGGTGCACTTTGAGGTCACGTGCAGTGTCCGAAGGCTCGCTGCAGACATGAGATCACTGGACAGACCCAGGTGGTTGTCATTCATTGACCGAGATGACTGACAAGACGCACACCAGCAGCGCTCCAAGCTGCAAATTTGCTGCATTTTAGGCCACCCGGCGCTCCGCTCGTTGTTGTGAGCGTCGCTCCTTGCCAAGTTGGGGAGGCGGGGACCGTCTTTTCGACTATAGCGACCTTGTAACACGTAGGCTTTCACGTAAACAAAACATGGCAATTCGTTACGAATACAGCAACACCGGTTGTGTGTTGGAGAGCAAATCCACAACATTTACAATCAGAGTACGACGTTTCGCCAGTAATTACAACTAGCACCATCAGGCGGACAGCCAGATCTGAGCAAAGGGGGGGGGGGGGGTGGGGAGTTCTAAAAGTAATCCACAATATAGTAATGGGGTTTTACCCTTTCAACTGGTACAAAAACTGACACCTTTATACAAGGGATCATGTTTGCAATAACCACAACACAAGCAGTCAAAATGCAAACAAAAAGAAACAACTCTGATAATGATATGCACTGTCCTTGACGTTGATTGGTCCACACCCAAGACAGCTTTTCTTAGAGCCCAGTCTCCATTGGTGTTGGACCATATTATCAGAGTTATTTCTTTTTGTTTGCATTTTGACTGTGTTGTGGTTATTGCAAACATGATCCCTTGTATAAAGGTGTCAGTTTTTATACCAGTTGAAAGGGTAAAAACCTATTACTATATTTTGCCACTGGTAAAGGAGGTCTCATAGTGTAATCCACAACAATTAAATGTTGTGGATTTGCTCTCCAACACACAACCGGTGTTGCTGTACTAGTGTAGGGGTGTTAAAGAGAGGGCCCGTTATGCATGGCAGCCTATGGAAAACAAACACAGTGGGCGGGGCTACGTAAGTGCACGAGGAGGTGCCCTCTACGACGTCCGAGCCAGACACCCTGGGGGGGGCTGGTTCGAACGTTATGATCCCCCGGGGCCCCACCCCTCAGGGAGGGGTTGGGTATAAAAGGGGATGTTCAAAGGGCTCGAGTCAGTTATGTTTAAGCTAAGGGAAGAAGACTGAAGACGTCTTAGATAGAGCCCTGGACTCCCCTAGTTCGATGTCCTTTTCAGGGCCGGACAGGACTGAGCCAGCGGCGTGGTCCCGAAAGCCAGAGCCGGTGCTCTTGTAAGAGCTGGTCTGGAACTCCGGGTACCGGGCCCGACTTACCAGTGTCGGGCCAGTTAGCCTCCCCTAGCCCATTAGTGGAGGATTCGGGGCTAGGACAGAGTTAGCTAGGGGTGTATCCCGAGTTATACGGGTGAGGGGGCCGATACCCCCTCGAGTGTGTATATGCCCACTGTCGTATTGTGAAATAAATATACGTGTGCCTCAACCTCGGCGTCAAGCGTCTTCACCGGTACTTCACTAGTAACGAATCTGCATGTTCTATTCACGTGACAAACCGTACCAATTGGCTGTGTTGGGTGGTGGCGGGTTTAATGACACATTTACGCGATCTAAGCCATTAAAAAACCGCAGTATTATGGATGTAGCGTCCTTCACGAACATCGCTCCATAGAGGCCGATCTCTCGTTCATCACTGCGCCAAGCAAATCGTGACCGATGACGTAACCAGCTGTCTGGTGGGGGGGGGCTGGTTACCTGGCCCCACCCACATCCCTTGTAGCCCCGCCCACACACCTTGTAGCCCCGCCCACACACCTTGTAGCCCCGCCCACATCCCTTGTAGCCCCGCCCACACACATTGTAACCCCGCCCACACACATTGTAGCCCCGCCACACCCCTTGTAGCCCCGCCCACATCCCTTGTAGCCCCGTCCACATACCTTGTAGCCCCGCCCACACCCCTTGTAGCCCCGCCCACATCCCTTGTAGCCCCGCCCACACCCCTTGTAGCCACGCCCTACATCCCTTGTAGCCCCGCCCACTACCACCACTCTTGACCCCTTTCCCCAAAGACAAAGGTCCCACGTATAGGCTCAACAGACTTTAAGGGCAAGTGCTGTCTAAGCGAGTATCACCTATGAAGTCTGGCACGGGCACACGAGTTGCGGGTTGGCCAATACCACGCCCGGCCGCCTTTATCTCCCCCAGTGGCAATGTGTTCTTTTTACATCGAAGTTCAACATGCATGCATTTGTAAAATCAACTCATTGGAGACGTTCATTCCAAACAAAAAAAAACGTCTCTTTCTTAAGTAATAATGTCGATACAGTCCCACGGACAGTCAGCCCCGACGTTTAGCTGCTGGTCTCCGGGCAAGTGGCCAAACTGGGGGCCTCGTTCTGGCTTATCTACCCTCTAAGCCCGCCCTTAATTGGACAGTGCCCTCCACCCTGACTGTGGCGCGTGCCTTTAATTATCTCAACGTGTACATTTCGCTGCCTCCCCTGCAACAGCACCCCAACGGGCAGCTGTTCACAATCATCTCAACGCCTGTATTATTTGACGAACTTATCTATCCAGTACCGTACGACCAACCTTTTCTTAATTATCTGAACGCGTACACTTTTAGAATATATTTTGACAGTCCCCTCCCTACACGTGCATGGCACTAGGTGCTAATTTGAGGCTGGGTCGACCTAAGGGAGGCCCAGGAACGGTTCGGATAATCGTCACTGACGGTAGCGTAACTAGCGTGGGAGCAAGGGGGGCTCCTGGGCCCCCCCTGGTTGTCAAAGCTACGAGTTGGGGCCCCCTTGACAACCACCCATGAGATACTTTTCCACCAACAGTGTAAAAAAGAAACTTCAGCAACGATAATTATGTGATGAGGGCAAGAGGAGCCGCGCTATATAATAGCCTAGGTGCGACCGTGCGATACAAATCAAATATTGGGGGACCCCACCTCACCGATTGCCGCAACCCGCCCCCCCCCCGAGCCGATAATGTACAGGTCGCGACGCCACATCGATCACTGATGTTGGCTCTGAGCGCGATTCGAACTTTGGAATCGCCGGGTTTGACTGACGGTGAGTGCATCCGCGCTAACCACTGTGCCACCGCTCCCCCCCCCCAATCGCCCCCCCCTCCTCCAATCACCCCCCCCCCCTCCAATCACCCCCCCCCTCCAATCACCCCCCCCCAACCACCCCCACAATCACCCCCCCAACCGCCCCCACAATCACCCCCCCCCAACCGCCCCCACAATCACCCCCCCCAACCGCCCCCACAATCACCCCCCCCCAACCGCCCCCACAATCACCCCCCCCCAACCGCCCCCACAATCACCCCCCCCCAACCGCCCCCACAATCACCCCCCCCAACCGCCCCCACAATCACCCCCCCCCCAACCGCCCCCACAATCACCCCCCCCAACCGCCCCCACAATCACCCCCCCCAACCGCCCCCACAATCACCCCCCCCAACCGCCCCCACAATCACCACCCCCCAACCGCCCCCACAATCACCCCCCCCAACCGCCCCCACAATCACCCCCCCCCCAACCGCCCCCACAATCACCCCCCCCAACCGCCCCCACAATCACCCCCCCCAACCGCCCCCACAATCACCCCCCCCAACCGCCCCCACGATCACTCACCCCAACCGCTCCCACAATCACCCCCCCCCAACCGCCCCCACAATCACCCCCCCCAACCGCCCCCACAATCACCCCCCCCAACCGCCCCCACAATCACCCCCCCCAACCGCCCCCACAATCACCCCCCCCAACCGCCCCCACAATCACCCCCCCCCAACCGCCCTCACAATCACCCCCCCCCAACTGCCCCCACAATCACCCCCCCCAACCGCCCCCACAATCACCCCCCCCAACCGCCCCCACAATCACCCCCCCCAACCGCCCCCACAATCACCCCCCTCAACCGCCTCCACAATCACCCCCCCCCAACCGCCCCCACAATCACCACCCCCCAACCGCCCCCACAATCACCCCCCCCAACCGCCCCCACAATCACCGCCCCCACAATCACCCCCCCAATCGCCCCCCCCCCCCAATCGCCTCCCCCCAAACACCCGCCCCAACTTCTCCCCAATCACCCCCCCACCCCACAACGTGTTGACCAATCGCGAGGCCGGATCCCATCACCGCGTGGGCGTGGCCTAGAGCGGAAGTGGGCGGTGGCCTAGAGCGGAAGTGTCACGCGCGAGCTGCCAGAGGAACGAAGACAACAGCAGGCGGAGGTCGCAGTTGCTGCTGCTGCTGCTGGCGCCGATTGTCTTCGTCATCGCCTCTGTTTACAACTCACACAACACAAAAAATACACACATACGCTAGCAATCACAATCATTGTATTTATAGCATTGACGCACGGTAATATATGATGGCGGCGGCGGGGGCCGTGGTGCTGCTGCATCCTCCTCCTCCGCCGGCTGGCTCGGGCTTGGTGGTCGTATGGGAGTGGCTGAGCGAGCAGCAGCGCTGGAGGCCGTACAGCTCCCGCGTGTGCAGGCACATCGAGACGGCTATCGGGACCCGCGGGGCAGGTAACGTGGGCGGGGGGTGGGAGAGACGCCGTTGCCTTTTATGGTGGGTTTTGAGGGATGTGGGGGGATGTGGTGGTCGACGTGGAGGTGTTTTTTTTTGGTGGTTGATGATTGTGGTGGTTGGTGATGAAGGGTGAGAGGATGGTTCGTGGTCGTGGTGTTGGAGGTACGAACTGTGATGGTTATAGCGGTGGGAGTGGTGGTGTAGTGACATTTGAGGCTGGTGGGGGATGCTGATGGTTGTGCAGGTGGTGGTGGTGTGGGAGGCGATAATGTAGCGCGCAACGCTACGAACCTGGCGACACGAGTTCGATTCCTGCTCACGGCCAACTCTGACGAGTATCTGAACCGATCCCGGGCCTCCCCTAGGTCGACTCGGCCTCAAATGAGTACCTGGTGCGGTGTGTAAACATCGCCGCTCGAGAGACACAAAGTTGGCCGGGCATGGTTGCTGGCCACCCACCCAATGCCCCTAATAGGTGCTCGCTAACTTCATTTGGCCCAACATTCTGGTAGCCGAGTGTGCAAGCACATCAAGGCGGCGATCGCGAATCCTCTAGTAGGTAATTGGAGGGGTGAGGGGGGGTCATGATGGTTGTGCGGTGGTGACAGTGGAGGTGGTGGAGGAAGGCGATGATTGGTTGAGGTTGGTGGAGGCGATATTGGTAGTGGGGATTTTTTTTGGCGTGTGTAGTAGGCACATCGGAGTGAGGGGGGGAAGTGAATTATGGAGGAGCCGGGGATTGGTGGTGATGGTGGTGGAGATGGGAGTTCATCTTAATCGAGGGTGGCGGTAATGAGAATAATCTATGAAGAGGTGGGGTGGAGGGCATTGCGATGATGGTCGTTATTGCGGATATTGGTGGTGGTGGTGTTGATGGGAATGAGGGAGGTGGTGTAGGGTATTTGCAGGCACATCGAGGCGGTTTGGTGGTGCTGGTGGTCATGATTGTGATGGAGTAGATGATGTTTGCGGTGGCGAATTTAATAATGGTAAAGAGTGGCTGTGGAGGTAATGGTAATGATGGTCGTGGTTTTTTTTTGCCGGCGTCGGTGGAGGAGGTGGTGGAGGAGGAAGCACCCGTGGCGGTGGCAGCGTGGTGCTCGGGCAGGCTGAGCCTCTCCTCGCCTCCTATATCATCGATCTGAAATCCATGTGCCAGTTCCGCCAGGATACAGGTAGGCAACACACACGCTGCACAACTGACACATGTCAAAACATGACACACAGACATGGGTCTATTGCAGCAATGTTTCAACAAAAACTGAATTTTTTTTCGTCAGCATGTAAAACCTTTCCCGATCAGTGTTTTCCAACAGCGTTATGGCAGACATTCTCCATCGGTCTTGGCTTTTTTTAAGTCGCATCAGCAGTGTGGTCTGTTTTTTTTTTCGTACACCCTTTATATGTGCAGGGTGACTGATATTTGATCATTTATTATTAGAGGATTATAATTTGGCAGAATGTTGAGCCTGGTCGATAAAACTATACAGTCGTATGAATATTTTATCATACGAGTTTTATCCTTCTAAACCTCAATGTCCTCCATGGCATTGGCAACACGCATCATATCGATCTCAGAGGTTCGGGTGTTCGCCAACTTTTCGGCGGTGATTGTGTGCAGATGCTTCTGTTATGCGCAGGTGAAGACCACTCAAACTTTCCGGCAACAAAGACGAAAACTGAATTGTATAAGGAATATATTGCCAGGATTATAATCATCCAGGTCAAGACAGCTGTATTATAATTCTTAAATAATTATTGGTGAAGCTTTATTGACAGCTCTGTATTGTGTAAAAGTTGATCAGTTAGGATGTCCGTATTCATTTGGTGGCCCTGATCCAGAGCTTCTTCATAGGGCTCATCTCAAAGTGGGACATCTTTTATTGACCCTGCACTCTTGTGGTGCGTTGACTTTGTTTATTCACCATGCATTGCATAACTCGTCATGGGAGCTTTTACAAAGTTTAATTAATGTGAGCAGGGTTCATATTCTTAGGTTTTTTCGGTAAAGTCACGTAGGTAAAACATCAAAATTAATAAAAATAAAATAAAATAAAGATCACGACGTTTCGGAGGCAACACAAGTCTCCGTCATCAGGTGGGACCGTCACAGCCAGATTAGCTGCATCAAGTGAGGCAATGATTCAAGATGTAATCCCTTAAAGCGAGTTGAGGGGGGAGGAGAGGGGGGGGGAGCTCATCAGAATGTGGTAGCCAATGAATGGAACGTATCGGGAGGGAGGGGGGTGGGGCCAAAAGGGTGGGCGACGGCGTGGAAGCGATTGTGAGCAGGGTTGACACTTGGTGTGAAAAGTCGGTGGATAACTGACCCCCACCATGGGAACGTGGACATATCATGGACTCAAGTGGTGCCAGCATAGATGAGCATGATCCCATTGCTCATTTGAACAGGGAGACCATTTATTTGGGAACCTTAATCTTGGCAAAGCACAGTGCAGCAATGTCCAGTGTCGTGCTGTGCTTGGACAAACTTTTATGTTCTTTGGGTCTTTCGGTAAAGTCACGTAGATAGGTTCAACGAAAATTACAAAAAAACTACCACGTTTCGATCGCTACACAAGCGTTCGTTTTTTGTTCCTGATGATGAACGCTTGTGTTGCGATCGAAACGTCGTAGTTTTATTTATTTTATTTGAACCTATCTACGTGACTTTACCGAAAGACCCAAAGAATATGAAGTCAAGCTTCAGACTGTTATTCTTACACATCTATGCTACCCACCTTCACCAGCCCACACTGGCCAGCATGGTGAAGTATTTCTAAATAACCGCCGTGACTCGCACTGCAGGGGAGGGAGGCCCTTATCCAGCAGTGTATTGATAAAAGTGTAATACGCGTACCACAATCATTTGAATAATGGCCCAAAAGGGCCATGGTTTAAACGTAATTTCCTTTCTGCATTAAAGCACTTGTGACGTCATTTATTTTATTTGCGGAACACAACTGAAACATTAACCCATTCAAGTGGCATTGCTGTGGTTCCTTTAGTTATGTAATATACACTTAGCTGCACTTCTTAGCCTTATATTTTAAGCTCTGTAAACTACAAAATATAGGTACTGTCCTCGAGATAACCGCATTACTAATTAATTATATATATAGGAAAGAAACTTAACTTCTTTACATTCCGTTTAGAGCACTTCCCTGTTATAGTAAAATTCTTGGATGGCCTTCATACCATATGAGGGTCCATTAACGGTGTAACATTAATGTGTTTGTTGACTTTATGATATTGTGGCGAGGTTGCCTGACGTACGTGACCGCACTTTACAGCGTGGTGTATTCATAGTTTTACTTCTACCTTTTCATACTTAAACAAGAAAGTAAATACCACTGTGTATTTTTAAACGTTTTCCTTGATACCTCTGGTGTGTTTTGACGGAAAACATTGCATTGGATTTCACAGTCTCAGGGGGTGGGGGGCGGGGGGCGGGTGGCGGGTTATTTTAGCAAAAGGAAACTTTTCCTTCAGTAATTTAAACTTATGGCGTGATTCCATGGTCATGAATAAACGGAAGTCAAAATCATAATTTATTAATTTACTTTTGGCGACTCTGCCCCACCGCACACATAAACGCCGTGACCCACCTGGTGCGGATCATTCTGTTGTCATGTCGTCCAAGCGCAGCGAGGACGAATGCACAGAAGAAACGAAACCTTGATTGGCGCATCGTGTACAGCTCATCGACATAAAATGACGTCGCAGCGCAGTGTATGCGAGAACCGGGGGCTTATGGGACTCCGGGGTCCTGCCATAAGATTCACTTGTTCTAATTTTGCAAGCCCACAGCTTGTTTCGTTTCAGAATTCCAGTAAAACATTACTTGTGGAATTGGTGAAACATTCGAAAAATCCAGGGACCCTCCAGCAAAAGTCTGGATCCAGGGAGGCTTTCCTGGGTATAGATCTACATAATTCTTCTTCACCTTTATTCACGAATGGCCCCATTGTAATTTATTTCATAAACTTTGCAAGGCGATCTTGATTCCTTGCAAAAGGTTTCTGTTTGGTGTTTGAACATCTTAACACCAGAAAGGGTAAAACCTATTCTTATTTTTTCATACTTTGATACTGAAAAAAAGGTCCCATTTTGTAGCTGCTCACCCCAAGCTATAAATGCTTTGATCGTGCATCGTCTTTGTACTGTTCGCCTTTTAGCGTTCTCTGCTCTGACACTGGTGGGACTAGGCCCTAAAGAAGGCTGTCTCTGGTGTAGGCCAATCAGCTTCAAAGACATTGCATATATTATCAGAGCATGTTTTTTTTCATGTTCATAACGAGTACGTGTGGCATATGCCGACTTGATTCCTTGCAACAAAAAAAATAGTAAATGTTGTGGTTTCACGCTTCAACACACCGGTGGGGTAAAGCAGTGAACTATTTGTCTTTTGTCAACGTGACACTCTTTTGCTGATTGGCCGTGTCGGGTGGTGGAGGGTTACGACACATTTATAAATAACGCGATCTAACCCAAAAACGTTGATTATGAATAATATTGGTTGCGAAAGCCTACGTGTTAAAAAGGTATTTATTTGGTGTTTAAACATCTTAACACCTGTTTTATTGCCAGAAAGGGTAAACCTCTTCTTATTCTTTCATACTTTGATACTGACAAAAAGGTCCCATTTTGTTTGCAAGGCTTATTTACGAGTGACTTTCATTTGACTACACGAGAGCCCAATGATATTTATTATTTTTGTGCTCGAGGCCTGGTTGGTAATAATATCGTGTTGAATCAATGCGCATTATTTTTTCTGCCTGTGATGGTTTGGTTTCCATGGTCACCTGTCAAGGGGGTAGGCTGTCCGTAAGGAGAGACAATATCAATGGTGTTTTGTTTTTATACAATTTCCGTGAGATGTGAGTTACGACGTTTGTGCAACTTTTCCTGCTCTCTCTCTCTTGTAAATGTCGCCACAGGGCGTTTAACGCCCACCTCGCATCGAGCGGGTAACAGATGATAAATCCTCAAATCTCATTAGGCTGTCATGACACTCCTTAACTGGAGGACATCGTATTCCTGGGGCCGTGCGCTGCAGCAAGGTTAATCAGAATACAGTGGAGCGCTTCTCTGCAGCAGCGTCTGTGTAATTGCTGTGCAGGTACTATCTCTCTGATGTGTTTGGGGCACGTGTTGACCGTGATGCCCCAGAAAGGCTCCAGTGAAACGTCGGACATCGTGCCGCACGCTACGTGCAACAACCTAAAATACACATCTTCGAGCTGTGGAGAGAGCATCTTCGATCTTACAGCTGTATATGTAGCACCACCGCGAAAACCTACGCAGTCGCACTGCAGGTAACACCGTGAGTGTTGTGTTGACAGATGCTGGAGGGTCTCAACTCGGGTAGCATGATGCGGTTTGTGTGCCGACCAGCTCAGCTGGTGTTTAGCGTCTCCAGATTAGTGTGTGCATGTGTCGTTTGTTGCCATGGTGCCCGGAATAAGGTTGCTGCCTTCAAGGCAGCCAAATGGGAAACAGGGGCATGTTGTGAAGTGCATTTCTCAAGACATTTAGATGGGTGAAAATGTGATGGGCCATTGCATGAAAACATTGGCCCATTAAATATATTACTTCCTACTATGGGGTTATTGACGAATATCTTGAGCTTATGTGTGTATATGCAGCACCACCAGTGTTTTATCGCAAAAACGTACGTTTGTCTGCATTGCATGTACTGCATTTTCGGCTCTGGCTTCTGGACGCCAACAGAGATGCAATCGCTAGATTGCTCGTTTGGGTGCGGAGAGCGACATTGAATTTTGACATTTCGTACATCGTCGCGAGTGTGCAAATGACTATACTATTTGTTTGTACAAGGGATGTATAATTCATTAGTCTTTTAAAGAGCTTCACGTGGTAGCTTCTACCCAAAATTTTCTTGTAAATGTTGGCAGTGGGCCTCAAGAACAAAAAATAATAAAAAAAAACAACTCGACACTTAGAGATTATCTCGCCACTTTTGGCCAAAATATAATCTATAATATATTATTTTCCTTATAGATTGCTGCTATTGACGAATGTGCAGAGATAAATACATTTTCAGTTGCATTGTTATTATTAAGTGCAAAGTGGTATACAAAGATCTCCCGTATAGCCTCATTTGAGGCCGAGTCGACCTTGCGGAGGCCCAGAATCGATTCAGATATTCGTC